GCGCGATAACAGTGATTGACTGGATGGAGATGACCTTTCTTCCCCAATTTGTCCCGAGGCGGGTGGTGCCCTCAATCTCCACCCCGACGCTCCGGCTCACCACTAACTAACTACCGCCAGAGATCTCGAATTTAACGGCCGGCTGATTCGGAGGGGGATTGGAAAGTTGGGGGCTTCAATTCTATAGTTTTTTTTTGGGATTGAGGGGTCGACGTCGGGTCTAACTTGTCCAGAATAGATATTTTTATTAGTTAGAGTTTGAAGGCCGATTGGGAATCAGCGCCCAATTTTTTTATAGGGCAGATTTGAAAATTTGTCAGTGACTGACAAAAGGTAGAAAGGTTCTATTCCTCGCTATAGGCTCTTTCTAGACTAAACAAACTCCAAAAAGAGATCGGCAGAACAATTATAATCAGAGTGGTTCATAGCCCAGTGTTCATATGTCGTCATATCTCCCGCGGGCGGGGGCCGAACCCGGGTGGGGCGCCCGGGAGGCGAGAGGCTTGCCACTGAGCCACGCGAGCATCAGGGGTGTGGGGGTCAGGGGTAAACACATGCGAGTGATGCCCATTGGGACGGCGCACTGGGTTTTGAGATTTCGGTCTAGTTTCGGCTTTTAAAAAGTGTATTTTTTTAAATCGGTAAATTTAGGGTAATTTTTTAAAAATTGACAAACGAACCTCGGGCATGCTCATGCGATGTTTAGCTAGGCGGGCGCGTTCTTCGACGGTACGCGTTTTTTGTTTCTAAACGTTTGGTTGATTCAGCTTCATAGACCTTGTAAATTTAAGGAAATAAAGGTTAATCTTTATAAAAGGTAATCTATTTATCTAATAGCTAAATTTTATAAAATACAGATACAAGGATATAAGAATAGAGTTATCAGGAGTTTTTGATTCACTATTTTGGCATTAAAAAATGTCTCCATACTACGGTACTAATTATAATATTTAAATGAAAAACCTCGGAAAGATGCCGGGCGATGGAGCGTACGGTACCGTGGGAAGGGCGGCGTATCGTGTCTTTCGACCGTTCCCCGCACTGAATACGGTAATTTTAGTGGGAAATAGGAAAATACCCTGGCATCGACTTGATTATTGTTTTCTTCTCGTGCGTCAGGAGGATTGGCGCGTAATCGCACTTCGGAGGCCCGTTTTTCTTCAGCTTCTAGCTAAAAATCCGATTATTTTTCGAAAGAAATAAATGAAACTTTTCTAAACCAACGAATACCAACCCTGGCCTCCTCGGCTTCTTCATCGTGCGCCTCGGGAAGTGTCTCCAGATCCAGCCGACCGTCGAATGACCTAAGATACAATAGGGAAATGTAGAAATCTGATTATTGCAATTATTGCACTATTTTTCAGATATTATTATAAATTTTAGGTACTTGGAGCGGAAGCTGTTGGTCAGATAGCGTCGTCGCGTCGACTGGGGGACCGGCGGGGGTACGGATGAGGTACCCGGCTCAGAGGTGGACATTGGCTGGAAAAGGAATATGAGGCGAGAGAGCGGGAGTGAGACAGAGAGCGAGAGAGAGGGGGGGGGGGGGGGGGAGGGGGGAGAGAGAGCGAGGGGGGGAGGGGAGGAGAGGGGAAAGGAAAGAAGGAGAGAGGGGAGAGAGGGAGAGAGGGGGAGGGAGAGAAAGAGACGCTCCGGAGCCTCGCGTAACGGTAATAAGCATAACGCGGCTTCTAAAGAGTAAAAGCTTATGAGAAATCTGTAGGAGAGAAAGAGCGAGAGATAGAGAGAGAGAGAGAGAGAGAGAGAGAGAGAGGAGAGGGAAAGAGAAGAGAGAGAGAGAGAGAGGAGAGAGAGAGGGGAGAGGGAAAGCGATAGCGAGAGAGTCGGAGAGAAGAAACGATTTCCATAGCGTGGTGTGTTACGGTGGAAAAAAGCCCTCCAATTTCTCGTTCATTGATTTCAGTGAATTCTAGCTAGAGAAAGGAGAGGGAGCAAGAGAGAGAGAGAGAGAGAGAGAGAGAGAGAGAGAGAGAGAGAGCGAGAGAGAGAGAGAGAGAGAGAGAGAGAAAGAGAGAGAAAGAAAGAGCGCGAGAGCGAGACGCTTAGCGGCTTTATAACATATATCAAAATTATGGCTACAGTTGATAATAATACGCATAAAACTTTATAGAAAAATGTTGATTTAATTTTTAGTTTATGTTTAAAAAAATATGCATAAATACCGTATCTTAGGTACTGTCACGATGTCTTTAAAACCTTATACCAGCCCGCGGAACCAGATAAAAATCTAACCGACCCTGTCTAACGTCTGATATGCCTCCTCGGCCGGGATCCACGGCAGATTCGTCTTTGGCATCGTAGCGGAGAATTGAGTGTACGGTAGAGAGAACGGGGACCACTGTCACACCCACCAGACAACATCATTTCCGGAAAGCGGAAACGGATCCTAGGGGGGGATGGGTGTTTGTCGGGTTGTTCTTTGCGGGGGGCTTTTCCTCTGACACCGACACTTTGGTGTCCCCCTCTTTGCTCTGTAATCGAGAACAATCAAGTGGGGCCCGGCCTTTAGGACCCGGGATTCCGTAGCGATACACTTGACGGAGGCGCTGCCGCGCCGCGCGGATACACGTTCGCCCTGCAGACGTGCCTTTGGCAAATAGCGGCAAAATCTCTTTTCTCTGGATTAGAGGGATTGATTTTTAAAGGGAGTGTGACAGCACGGACAAGTTTGAGACTGTGGATCTTTTGCATTATCGGGGGGGGGGCGTTTCAGGGGAAATGTGCTTGTTCTTTAATATCAAATTTTTCTAAAACAAGGGGTGTTTTTAAGCGGTTTTTACTCCTATTACCCAACGCAAAACTACAATTTTTTCCAAAAACTGCAAAAATATCGGTTTTTCGATCCAACTTTCGAATTTTTAACACTAAATGCGAAACTACAAATTATTCTACAAAAAATACAAAAATATAGATTTTTCGACCAAAATCTCTAATTTTTAACGTTTTTACAGCTTTTAGGTAGTTTTTCTACTCGAAATATAGTTAAATTTTAGTAAAAACGCTATTAAAAACGATCCGTATTTGTTAATAAAGATTTCGGAACTAATATAAAAATTCCGTTGCTCCCTGACCCGACCACCCCCCGATAATGCAAAAGTAGTCGCGCGTTGCGGATCGCGCTTGTGGCGAATTCCAGAGATAATCCATAGCCTGCAGAAACTCTAGTGTACTAAGCCGTGCCAATCCCTTTAAGCGTCTAATCGCGATCAGTACTATAGCAGAACGTAAAAAACGTAACCTCTCGGAACGCCTTGTCTCGTTTTTTTGGGGGTGCGAGGGCTCATTTCGGGGGCTTTTCCTGGTCAGGACCCTTCGGAATCAAAGACGCCGTGGTCTGTTCCCACCAATGGAGGGAGGAGAGAGAGAGAGAGAGATGAGCCGATGGGCAAGCAGGGAGGTAGAGGAGGGAAATTGAGATGGGGAGGAGCTGCTGTTTGGAACCGGAAAGCCGTGATGAACATTGTTGCCACATTTCGTAGAGATGTGCGTGTGGTTCCGGAAATGAACAAATTACAGCTACGGATACAGTAGGATATCAAAAACCTTAGCAAGCAAATTGTTTCACCGAAAAAGAGAGGTAAAATGGTGAAGGAGAGGCAGGCTAGCACCGATCATTCAAAACGGTTTTTCTCAATATACCAGATAGATAGCAGAAACAAGATAGCAGAGGTGAAAACGCGTGTAAAGGCAAGCTAGCAGGGATTCTTTGCTCCTTCCAAAACCCAACTATGGGATCATGGGCAAGGTTGTCAAGATACTTGGGGATATTTTGGGGCTTCGAGCCGGAATTAAAATACTGCAAAATTTATAGGCAATCTGGCGGAGATCCTTTGCAAATTCTGGCGGATCGTAAAGTTACTAAATTATAATTTTGCAGGAATTTTTAGGTTTTGAAATTTTTTGAAGACAAAATAGCTAAAATTAACTTCACCTTGTTAAATCCGCAGGCGAGCTAGCAGAGATCCTTCGTTTATTTAACTAAGTTAGTAGGGCAAGCTAGCAGAGATTCTTGGGATTTTTTCGGCACTGAAAACCCAAACCTGATTAGTAGGAGTGCTTAAAATCCACAGGTGAGCTAGGCAGAGATTCTTGGGATTTTTTTCAAAGAGCAATTACAACCAGAGGCTAAATGTTCAAAGTGCTAAACATTCCACTTAGAAAAAAAAGGTTTTTTTGGAGGGAGGTAAGCTAGCAGAGATTCTTTGTGGGTTGTCCGGGTTCCAGAATTAAAAGCCGGCTAAGATACGGTAAGACATATGCAAGCTAGCAGAGGTCCTTGAGGATCAATAATTCGCGACAATGACGAGGAAATCAGAGTGGAAAAGCCGAAGTGAAAGATTAGCCACGGGTGTGTGGGTGTGTGAAGGAGACAATAGGGGAAGGGAAATGGGAATGCCCCGAGGGCACTTGATTCCCCCTCTGGGGTCCCGCAGCGATATTTGATCTGTAGATCAGCTGGCATCTCGCATTCGGGTCCCAAGTGGAACCGGGGGGATGGCCATTCGCGCCTCCGTTCCGGTCCTATCAACGGCATTTTGGGGCAATTGGTCGCGTGCGAAAAATCGGAAGTAGGAATGGGACGGAATAAGAATTTAATTATTGCAATTAATTTTTTAAGCAATGTAATTATTATCAGTTAAAGAAAATTTCGGAAAAAGCAAAGGTCAAACCTCATGAATTGTAAATAATGTATAATAAATATTATCCCGAAAATAATCCTGTTTGTGTAAATAAAAAACAACAGTTTTCGGGGCGTTCAGCTACTCAACAACGTACGAAAAATCCACCGTAATCCAAACCGTAAGTAGAACGGTAATGGAATCAAATAATTTTTTTCAATCGATTTTATAGTTGAAAATCAGACGAAGAAAAAACCAAAGCCGAAAAATAAAAAAATTAAATTGTTTTTTTCGGATTTTTTCAACAAAATTCCAAATAACGCCAAGCCACCGTCATTTGTTGTTTTCCGGAATGGTGTTAGCAGAAGAAGCCTGGTGTATTTATCAGAGAAAGAGAATCACCCCGATACAACATCCGGGCAGCAGATGATGGATGAGGGTCGCCAACTGTCTCTCCAGGCGAATCCTTAGGGCCCAAATTCCCCCAGAGAAGTGTGATTACCATAAACACGACAATTTAAGGGTTGATTCAAGCTGAAAATTAATGCAATCAGTAATCAAAAATAGGGCTGTGCCGTGTCGGGATTTTGGCTTTTCGGGATTTCGGTTTTCGGCATTTTTTCGTTTTTGTTTTTTTCTTCGGGGGGGGGGGGGGGGGTTTTTTGGGGTGTGTTTTTTTTTGGGGGGTTTTTGGGGGGGTTTTTGCGCTGTCGGGTTTTTTTTTTTTGCTGTCGGGATTTTGGCTGTCGGGTTTATTTAGTTTTTTGCGGGATTTTGCGTCTGTCGGGATTTTGACTGACGGGATTTTGGTCTGTCGGGATTTTCCCGCGTTTCGGTGAGATTAGAGAAAAAGTAAGATTGAGAGAGAGAGGAAAATGAATTTTTACACCTAACTCCGTCTACAGTATCTGAATATTTTATTAATCCAAACCTTAAAAAATGTCCATATTTGACTACAGTAACGAAGTAAGGCACACTTTAGGAAAAAATGCGTTCCAAGGCCGGTGCTCTAGGGGCAAAAATGAGTGCGTTCCCGGGCCCTGGGGTGCCGGGGTCCTAAGAGCAAGCCGAGATGCGTAATGTGGTTATTTCATCTTTTGAGGCGAGAGAGAGAAAAGCTAGCATGTTCCGAAGCATATTCCCCCTTTCCATCTCTGCATCTCTCTTTCGCTCTCTCTCTCTCTCTCTCTCTCACTCTCTCTGTCTCTCTGGTCTATTTGGTATGCCCTCAAGGCACATCTCCCCCCATCTGGTCCCATCCCTCCTGTACGGAGTGTTGGCCCCGTCCACTTGAAGCCAACACGGATCGGCTTCTCTGTGCAAAAAGGCGCCGCCCCAGGGAGGAAAACACATCCACCCCGGGATTCTGGAAGCGCTGCACTTTCACTGTGGAAGACAGAAGAATTGCACGTAGTGCAGAAAAGGTATGCTTGTCAATCACTCAAAAAGTGAGTTTTTGCAAAGGAAATCTCTCTCTCTCTCTCTCTCTCTCTTTTGCTGTCCACTCTCTCTCTCTATCGCTCTCTCTCTCTATCTTTCTGTCCCTCTCCGTCGCTCTCTTTTCTCTCTCGGTCCCAGTTCCTAGAAATTCAACCAAAAATCGCAGACATTTATTGACAGTGAAATTGAGGAATCGAACTGGTAAATGGCAGCTGGATGTTCATCCAAGGGTACGGTAGATAGGTCGGCATGTAGGGAAATGCGGGAACACTCGTTTTTTCCCAGGCAGCAGCCGGTTCGCTAAAAATTGCCCTAATACCGTAACCCTCGCTAGAAATACCTAGGAGTTTCAGGTGATTTCGGCGACTCCTTTGCTTTTTCGAGCCCTCCTCCCTGTTTTCGGCCCTTTGTGCGTCGATTTTGGAACCATACTTTCACCTAAAATTTTTATTATTATGTTTTCACCATTTCGCTGACGATTAAAAAAGTTTTTTACAGTAAGGGTGGGAAGTAAACCGGGAAAAAAAAAAAAAAAAAAAAAACTTTCCTTAACCTAAAAAAATTAAAAAAAAAAAAAAAAATGTTTTTACAAAAAAAAAAAGAATTAAAGATCAGAAAAAAGAAAGGGAATGAAAAAAACACAAAAACAAAAACAAAAAAAAAAATTTATATAAAAAAAAAATTACGGTTTTTTAGATTATTTAAGTGTTAATTACCTGAGTGTCGGAAAGGCGCAACTCTTTAGCGAGTCGAGCGCGTTTTTCGGCGTTTGGGTAGCCGTCTATCTAAAATATTAACGTAATGACCAGGGTTGAAAAGCCGCTTCGCGACTTTTCCACCCTGGCCCGACCTCTCCTATTTTATCATTCACTTTGCATAATTGTCCTGAATTCAGATGACAAAAATGAAAAAGAACTTCTTCTGTGCCTTTATATAGCCGAATCACCACTTCCGGTCTATGCTAATTATTTCCTAACAAAGGAGCTTTCACAAAAACTTAAATTTAATGTCGAAAATGGCTGATTTTGTAAAATTTGATATGTGTGCAGTCATCTCAAGACCATTGCGCACCTAATGACGTATCAAACGTACCCGTAACTTCCTCCCCTATCGAGATATCCTCCGGACAGACAGACGGAAGTGGATGCAAAGTGGCACACACACACAGACACACACACACACAGACACTATTTTTTTATATTTAGTAGGATAGGATAAGTTTTTGATTGGACCAAGGGTCTCTGCTAGCCTGTCCGTTTCTCCAAATGGTCTCTGCTAGCCTTTCGGCTATGCCAAATGGTTTCTGCTAGTCCGTCAGCTTTCCCAAATGGTCTCTGCTAGCCTCCCCGCTTTTTTTTGCGATGGGTCGTCGCTAGCCTGCCTGCTTTCCTAAATGTTTTCTGCTGGCCTGCCCGCTTTCCGCAAATGGTCTCTGCTAGCCTGCACGATACCTGAAAAGCCATCTCAAGCGCCTGTAGCTGATCAGCATGAAATGTGGTCCTCGGGCGTTTCGGGCGATCCACGTCGAGTTGGAGCGGTAATTCCATGCGTCGCTCTTGTCCATCCCCGCCTACAGTATACGTTTAAATTTCGTACGTAATAGTACGCTGTCGTACTATGTCATAATCTTGCAAAGCGTAGTATGGAACGATAAAATCAGCTGTCGCTATCCCTTTAAAACGCTTTCCAAGGGTGTGATCCCGGAAGCGACGGTCACAGTTAGTGGATTGACTAAACACTTAACGGGAATAAACGCATTTTTTGATATTATATTTCAGGCTCACAGTAGCACTTACCCTTGATGGTGAAGACCTTGACGTAGTCGGGCATCTTTTAGGAAACTGGGCCGAGTGGTGGGAGGGGGAGGGGAGGGGCCCTTGAAGCGGCGCGAATGAGGTCGATCTGAAAGGTTTGCAGATTTTGGACCTTTTAATAACGTGCGAAATTTAGATAATACCGTACTCAGGGTATTTGGGAATTGCAAAGCAGCAAAAATTACAATTAGAACGGTGAGAAATGGGGTTGGAAAATCTGGCCAAATAAGCAAATTCAACATAACGGTAATTTCAGCGGTATTGGATAGACAGAGACGGAAAGAGAGGGAGAGAGAGAGAGCGAGAGAGAGTGTGTGAGACAGAGAGAGAAAGAGCTAGAGAGACCAGGTATCCCGCACGTTAATGGAACTGAATAAACCAGCAAATCCGCAAAAAACACCGTTTTAAACCCAGATTACGGTAACTCTCCGAATAAAAATACCGGAATTTCCGGATTACAGTAATCTGGTAACAATGAAATCATATAAATGATTTACGATAAATTTAACGCAATAAATTTGGTCCACCCTCGGATCCTAAAAGGCACCCGAATGGGGCCGTGGAGCATGTTATGAATGCGAAGGGTTTTAGAGTCCATATGGGGACTCTTGAAGGGCGAGTGGTGACAGATTGTGCCCCTCCCCCCTGAAGACAATTATCCACACAATAGAATCACTACCGTACCCCCAACCCTCCTCCAATCTTTAGACTCCAACTGCGAAGTTGCCCGATCGAATAGCGTACTCGAATAACATTTTGGTGACCTTTAATTGCTGTATCTTGGAGTTGGTACGTATCCCGGCTAGCGCTCTCTCTCTCTCTCTCTCTCTCTCTCTCTGCTCTCTGTCGCTCGTCCTCTCTATTTATCTCAAATTCTTCTATTCCCGAAAATCTCTCTCTCTCTCTCGCTTGTTATCTATATCTTTCTTTCTCATGCTCTGTCACATCTCTTTTTCTGCCTCTCTCTCTCTCACACACCTCGCTCTCTTACTGTCTCTCTCTGCCCATTACCGTACCCAAACTATATGCCAGCGCTGACAAATAGCGACATTTTCGAACTTTTCAATCCTCACCAATTTTTTGGTCTTAAAACTCCCATACTCCACTGAATTCACGATATAATCAGCAAGAAAATTTCAGTCTAGTTTTCGGAGCGGAACAACGAGTTCTGATTGTTGGTCGGCCGGAAAAGTCGTCGGGTAAAGGATAAAATGACGAGAGAGGGAAGGAGTCGCTGCTAATAACACTCCTTTAAAACACTAAAATGGAACGGTAGCCAGGTGGATTAGGCGGAAGCGGAAAATGAAGCTCGGGTTGATTTTGGGCTTGGTCGGCTTCATCTCGGCGCGGTATGCAACTCAATGTCCGGAGAAAGAGCAAGAGCCGTAGAGATCGAAAGAGAGGCAGAGATCGAGAGAAAGAGAGAGAGAGCGAAGGATAGACAAAGAGACATCAAGAAACCACCAAATTTTGTTGTTTTCCGTGACAATCCGTGATGAGAGGGCGCCAATTTTTGACCCACCCAGATTCCGGAGCAATCCGCAGTGACGGGGGAATGATTAATTTTCGGGGCAAAATGGAGATAAGGGACTGCCGCCTATAAGTAGAAGCTGCTCCGAACCATGGAAAATTTTGCTTCAAAACTTCTCAAAAAACAACCTGATGACGTCGGGATTATTTATATTCCTTGGGTTGCTCGCGTGCAGCTACGCGATAATCGAGTGTCCGGTGCGATTTGATCAGATCCAGGGGAGGGACAGCTGTCTGTACTACTCCTTCCGGTGTATGTTTTTCGATATTTATTTTTTTTGCTTTTATGCGATTTATCTCTCCGCTTTTCCGTCCATATAATATAGACGGCTAAAATACCGAGGGTTTTGAGCTAGAGAAAAATCCCGACAGCCAACATACAGACAGCAATAATCCGACAAGACAAAATACCGACAGCTTTTCTTTATTTTGGTTGTCGACATTTTGGTTTTGGGGGATAGCTGTCAGAATTTCATGTCGGTATTTTGCAATCATCAACCTGGCATGACACCCGCTTTTTTTAGAAGATAAACCCGAACCGGAAGGGCTCCTCTCCCAAATAACCTCCGCTAGCTTGCCCTTTTCAGATCTGCACCATGCTGATGCCGTCCGAACCTGCGCCCAACTCGGCGGCTCCCTATTTGCAATTCGTTCCGCCCTCGACAATGCCTATATCGGGAATTCGATTGGAGGTGGTCAAACTTTCCCAAAAGCCGAAAAAAATAGCTTTTAGACATCAGCCCGTACATTGGTGTCGAACGGAACAGCAATGGGGATTGGATCTATCCGGATGGGGCGAATATTACGTATCTGAACTGGGGGAACACGGGTAAGGCCTAAATTTTTTTGAGTTTCTCACTCTCTCACTCACACACCTCCCTCCCTCGCCTCTCTCTCTCTCCTCCAGGTATAGTCTTGCCTCCCCCCTCATGCGTCTCCCCCCTCTCTCTCCTCCCTCTCCTCTCCGTTTTCTCTCTTTCTTTTTTCTCTGTTGCTCCCTCTCTCTCTCGCCCTCTCTCTCTCAATATTCCGTTACAGTACTCTCCAACGACACGACGAACATCTGCTCAATCATGAATGCGACGACTGTCAAATGGGATATGGTTGACTGTACGAGCCGGAGGGCATTCATTTGTGATGTGCCGGCAGAGAAATGTGAGGAGCGAGAGAGAGAGAGAGACAGGAGAGAAGCGGAGAGAGAGAGCAGGAGAGTAGAGAGCGAGAGAGAGAGCGAAGAGAGAGACAGAGAGAGAGAGGCAGACCTACAGAAAGCGGAACACCGATTTCAACCTAACCTTTTAGTCTATACCTGCCCAGTTGGTTGGACCCTATTCTCCCCAACGGCCTCCTGCTATCAACTTAAGGTATTATTCATGCACAAAACGGCAAAACCACCTTTTTAGGGCTTCTCCCTGGCCTCAAACGACAAATGGCTAACGAGCAGCCAATTCTCGGCCGAACAAAGCTGCCAGGCCACCGGGGCCCACCTTGTGTCGATCCACTCCGACGCGGAGCTCCAATTCCTGCAGGGTACGGTAGTAGGGCTGATTTTTGGATCGAAATTTCCAGACCTAATCGCGTCGGACGTGACGCAGTTGGGCCACGGTGCACCTAGTGGCGGGCTGCCCGTGTTGGCCGCCGTGAGTACGGGACTGTACGGCACGGGGGCGGTAGGGAATGGAAAGTGGACTGATGGGACTGTGGTCGATTATGCGCCGGGGCCGTTGAATGCAAAAAGTCATGTCTGGGGGGTAAGTTGAGGGAAAATAGATAGTTTCTCGTTCTCTCGCTGTCTCTCGCTCTCTCTCACTCATTAACTCTCCCTTGCTCTCTAATTTTTGCTCTCTCGGGCTCGCCATCCGATCTCTCTCGTTCTCTATCTCCCTCCCTCTCTCTCGCTTTCTATCTCGCTATTCCAGATCCAACGTGACGCTACGCAAGGCTCCGGCTGGACGATGACCGGCACTGACCAATGGCCGCGTTACGTCTGCAAGCAACGCGCTTCTATCGTGGCCCCAGCCATTAATTAAGACGTACCTTCACCCCCTAATAAATAAATTATGCATTTTCTATGCAAAATATTGGTACTTTTTCATTATCGGGGGGTGGGGTGGGGAAAGGGGAATCACGGAGCAAAAAACCAGCTTTTCCCTTGGCATTCAGTTTGACCAACAACGTCTTACCAAAAAAAATAGAGGCGGCGTTTTTACAATATTTTTACTCTTACGAAGCGCGAAAATTATGTGTGCAATTACTAATTTTTGTGAAAATACAAAAAATATCGATTTTTCGGCCAGAAATGATGCGATTTTCGGCTAGAAATGCCGAAATTGAATTTTTAGAAAGTTTTTACCGCTTAAACAGAATTTTACTGCAAATACTATTAAAATTCGTTGTGTTATTTTACTAGTGATTTCTGGACCAATACAAAAAAAATTAGTTTTCGGTCCTCCATGCAATCGTTTTTACCTTTTTTTTAAGGCTAAAGTAAGCTAACTGGGCGCTGTTTTGTTGCCATGTTTTAGCGTTGCTATAGGGCGCGCTAAAACGCGTATAATTCGCGCGATAATTCGGTTTGACCCACGCGCGAAACCCGCATTCTCTGAACCCAAGCGCCCCGGACGGCCAATTTCCACCCCAAGGCCAGGCTGATTTTTAATTATTTATATTCATCGGGGCGATGCTCGTTTCCGGCCCTCAATTTCCATCCCCCTCCACCCGTTCACACCGTAAACGTCGCTCCCAGGCTCGTTTTTGCACCAATGGCGGCTATTTTTGCGCTTTTTACCGGCTTATTAATGCCGGAAACTGTGGAAATTTCCGGGCCGTGATCGCTGCGAGAGAGAGCCGATTGGAATGTTTTGAGATATTCGGGGGGAATTGTAAGGACTTTGAGTTTGGTACTCGAATTGATACTAAAATTATTTCAGAGAGAGAGAAGGCGAGAGAGCGAGCGAGGGACAGCGAGATAGAGAGAGATAGAGAGAGAGAACGAGAGAGAGAGAGAGAGAGAGAGAGAGAGAGAGAGAGAGAGAAAGAGAGAGAGAGAGAGAGAGAGAGAGAGAGAGAGAGAGAGAGAGAGAGAGAGAGAGAGAGAGAGAGAGAGAGAGAGAGAGAGAGAGAGAGAGAGAGCAAGTGGCAGAGAGAGCGAGCGAGGGGGAGAGGGCGAGAGATCGAGACGCGATGTGAGCGAGAGTGAGCGAGACACAGAGCGGGAGAGCCAGGGAGAGAGGGAGAGATAGGGAGAGGGAGAAAGCCAGAGAGAACGAGCAAACACTTGAAAAAGAAAAATTGTAATTTAATGTAAATCGGTGTAGTTTTCCAATGTTGTGTTCCATTTTTGTAGCCCATAATTCGTATTCTGTAGTGTGTAGTTTAGTCACTAAACATTCTGAACCCGCTACCGTATGCGAAATTCCGATTGTGAACCCTCGATTCCCCATTCTTCCGGTACTTTCCGCCCATCCCAAAAAACGCGTCGGCGCTCAATTTCCTGTGGTCCACACATCTTGTTTTCGCGTACCACCGTAGGCCCCTGAAAATCCCTGAAGCTTTTTGGGACGTCAGACCGTATTGACCGTCAGAAATGACCCACTTGTGCTGCAGGGGGGCGTAGAGCCCTGGAAATCCGCTTTTTGTGATGGGCAATTGTAAGCCGGTGACTTTTATTAGGGGGACCCTCGGCTTATGCTTCTAAATTCGGAGCCGGATGCCGCGTTTCGGAATACCCCGCCGCCCAACCACGGCGACGTCGATGGCGGATAATCGGCGTTTGCAACGGGGAGGCGATGACCGCCAGCTAAATCCCGACGACCCAGGGAATATAGCCGACGGTATTTCATTTTTGTGTAAAGGGGAGCGTCGCGTTGTCTTTCGCTTAGTGCTGGCACTGTCTCTTTAAAATTTGGGATAATTATGCAATTTTAATCTACCTTAAATCAGACTTTTCTTAAAAGGCTAATATGTAGGAAAAGAATTTCTATTCGTTTAAATTCGTTTCTAAAATAGTAAAAGAGCTTTAACATTAGCTATCGCTCTCTCTATCTCGCTCTCTCCCTCTCTCTCTCCCTCTCTCTATCTCTCTCTCCCTCTCCAAAACTACCGTATTTCCCCTCACTCCACCTCGAGACCAACCAGCTCACCCACTCATTCAGACCCCGACTTGCCATTTCCACCGGAAATCCCAAAAAAAATCGGGCAAAATTCCGGGTCAGCCCCCCTCTTTCTATGGAAGGGCTTCGGATTTGGGCGCCCGAAATGGGGGTTTCATTCCGTTTCGGGGGCATTGTCTGTAAACAGGGATTAGTCAGGGAGGGGGGATCTCTCTGACTCTCTCTCACTCTCGCTCACTCTTTCTCCTTCTTTTCTCTCTCTCTCTCTCCCTCTCACTCTCTCAGTGTATCTCAGTGCTCTATCGCTCTATCGTTCGATGCATCTCTTACTGGATGCAATAAATTCACCGGCGTCGCGTATCGCGCTACGTCAATCCATCCACCCTTGCCTGTCCCTTTAATCAGTCTGTTTGTCACCCCAAATTTGGTAGTCATTCTCGGGGACCCATTAATCCGATGGCCCTTTAGGATTCCGGGTAAATCCTTCGTTCTCTCTCTATATCTCTCTCACTCTCTATCTCTCCCTCTCTCTCTCCCTCTCTCTCTCTCCCTATAAAGTGTGGGTGTGCCTCGGTCCGTCTAATCCGTTTTGCTTTCGTCTCCCACCCTACCCGGGTCGCCCTTTCATTTCACGGGACCCAGGATCTGGCCCTCTACTCGAGTCGGGGCTTCCGGCTAGTAGGGCCAACCGGAAGGCAGTCTTGCAGAGATCCCTGATGCATTTTTACTGACCATTGATGCGTGAATTTTTGGGGTCGACCAGCTAGGCGACACTTCCGAGCCCAGGAGCCAGATTTCTGAAAATAAAAAAACTTTCTTGCGATTGCGCATTAATGATAGAGCTCAAGCTTTTAAGGGAAAGCTAGCATGGGTTCTTCGGAAATTCATTTTTTCAGGCACCATCCCTTTAAACCACTCTTGCTCCCAGGGGTTTACTCTTGCAGTACCAATTTGTAGAAGCTCCCACTGGAAGGGCAAGCTAGCAGGGATTCTTATGGAATTTTTGCACCAAAACCAGCACAAACTTAAGCTTGTTCTAAGGCTTCCCCTCAAAATTGCAGCCTGGCAGCAAATTTCCCAAATTGCGGGGTGCAACGTGCCCCTATATGTGCGTGTTCCTCGTTTCCGTCATCCGGGTCGGAGAGAGAGAGAGAGAGAGAGAGAGAGAGAGAGAGAGAGAGCTGCAGAAGAAGCCGCTGAAAACGTGTGTGTGGCCCAGAAAATGAAAAAGCAGAAGATAAACCGGGGAGAGGGGGAGGGCCCAAAAAAGGGCTGGGCCCCAGCCCTGGACAGAGGATCGACCCGGCTCCATGTCTCTCTCTCTCTCGCTCTCTCGCCCCGCCCCCTTCTTCTCCTTGGGCTAATGGGAGACCCTGATCCGTGTGTGTGGGCCCTCGGTGGGCCCTCTCCCCCTCTGGGGCCTAGGGCTCACGTCTTCCCCTCCCTCTCCCCCAGTTTTTTATGTTGTCCCTCTGTTCGGCCGGTTGAAAGCGGCCCTCTGGGGGCCCACAACCCGAGGGCCCACGGCCACCCTCTCCCGGTTTTTTACCGCCACCCCCAGTTTTTTCTGGTGACCCGCTAACGGCGCACCGGCTTATGCAAATTTGTGGTGATATCTGAATCTCAGAAGATGAATGTTCCTCTATTTATGGCCATATACCATAAGCTACAAAATTAAGCTCAAAACTGACAAGTAAAATTTCATTTTTTTGTGAATTTATTAGCCTGAATTTTAATAGGGTTCTATACAGTGTACTATCAAATGCAACATTACACGCCAAATAAAAAATCGCTCTCTCTCCCTCTCTCTCAATCTCTCTCACGCTCTCTCGCTCTTTCCCCTTTCCTTGCTCTCTCGCTCTCTCCCCGCCACTCTGTCGCCCGTGCTCCCCGACCCTACTAACATATTTATATTTTGATAATCCACAGGCTAGTTCCAGACTTCCCAAACCCTTTAAAACGCCCCGTACCTTGATCTCATCCTTAGTCCCCCCTTTTTTCTGTTATGATCCCCCTCCGCAACTCCCATTCATTCCACCCATTTCAATTCCTTTTCATTCCCAATTTTGCTGAATGGCCACGCGGTGCCCTTTGGGACTTTTAATTCAAATTTTAATCGCAATAATGAAGTGGGTGGAGGGGGGAAGTTCGTTTTTACGAGCCGTTTTGGTGTGATGAGTATCCGGTGGGGGAGAGCCCCGGAAAATAGCTGACGAGTCTCCAATTAAAAGGGTAGAGAGAAAAAGAGGGAGAGAGAGAGAGAGAGAGTGGGAGAGAGAGACAGATAGCAAGAAAAAAGTGGGGGAGCGAAGTGATGGCCCGGGGCTGCATCCCAGATGAGCCCCGGGAATGGGTGACGAGGGCCGGCGAACCCAGCCCTCTTCCTCTAGCCATTTTGCCCCATCTATTTTTTGTCGATCTGGAATGTTCCTAGTTTAGAAGCGTTCGTTTTTGGCTGTGAAACGGAATTTGACCACTAGAGGCCCTTCCTTGTCCCTTTAGAAGCCGAAAGAGCTTCCAAGAATTTTTCCGGAATGGTGTCTTTGTGCTCTTAAAAGCGAGAGATAGGGAGAGAGTGAGAGAGAGAACACTGGATAGCTAGAGAAAAGAGCGAGAGAGTGAGGGCAGAAAGCTACGTTGCGCCCTCCCTCTCTGTCCATCTCTCGCTTTCTCTCTCTCTCTCTCTCTCTCTCTCTCTCTCTCTCGCTCTCATTACGACATCAAATTCAGAAGAGCATTTTCTAAATTAATTTTCCAACTTTTGGCTGAATTTTAAAGTTTTACATTACGTGTCATCATGGAATGTTGCGTCGTTTTGGCCTCTAGACAATGTTGGTCTCTTGCTTTAACCCGCCTGAATTCAGCGAAAAAATGACCGAACTGCACCTGCGAAAATCTCGATTTCCACCTGCCCCCTCAATCCCAAATTCAGCCACCGTCATTTGGTGTGCTACGTTTCCAGAAGACGCGCGTCACCCGGCGCTTATCCCCCAGATTTTCGATTTCACACAGTTCACGTCCCTCTTTGTCATCCCTGTAATGTTATTTCATGCCCCCGGCCGTGGATAGTCTCTTCCCGGATTGCCCGGATTGTTGTAGCAGATCATCCGTGCCGAGCCGTTCAGTGCAAGATGTAAACCGGGTCCCTACGCATTAAGGGGTGGATGTGGGGATTATAAATCGTGCTTAGAAATTTCAATTTTTCTTCCGGGACGCAGAGGGATGAAAGTAAAGGGGCCTGGGAAGTGTTAAAGGCTAATTGAAAGCTTGATTTCTCTTGATGTCGCTCTCTCTCACTCTCTCTCTCTCGCACTCTCTGTCTCTCTCTCTCTGTCTCTCTCTATCTGTCTCTTTCTCGCCCTCTCTCCTCTCCTCTGCTCTCCCTCACCCCCCCCCCTCTCCCCCCCTCTCGCCTCTACGTTTTGGAGAATTTTTATGATTTGCATAGAAATCATGGTTCAGCACCGGAAAAATTCAGACTAGCTCGAGCGGGCTGTCACGGTCCCTTTAATTGCCCTAATTGGCGCCGGGTGTTAGGATTAAATGAACGCGGAGCTCCTACAAACGCGTGCTCGGTGTACCCGCGAAGCACCCGTTCGCGCTGTCTGCTCCGGGATGCAAATTTCGACCAGGCAAGGTGCCAATTATGGCCGCCGCGGGCATGTGGTCAGCAGAAAGGCTCATTAGTGGGGCATCAGGGTAGATATGAGGACAGGTTGGTAGGGCAAAGATCAGGGTTTGAAGCGTATCTGTTGATCTCTAGCTCTCTCTCTCTCTCTCTTTATCTCTCTCTCCCTCTCTTGCCAAATCCATTTTTTACAATTGTTTTCAGCCGGACTGGCGTCGCCGACGCCCCTCTCCCCGTTGCCGAGGGCCAAACTTCGGAAGGCCCATGCTGTCGTGAGTTTTTTGCGGTTGTACCGTACTTTTAAAGGGGTCGGCAAGGCTTGTAATTCCCGGAATCCATAGCCCCTTTATCTTTAAAATGGCTGAAAACTGTATAAATTAATCGGCTAGGCGCAATATCTCTCTTTCTCTCACTCTCTCTCATTGGCTCTCTTTCTCTCGCTCTCTATAGCTATCTCTCTCTCTCTGGTTCTCTTTCTCTGGCTCTCTCTCGCACCCACCTCTTTCTATCTCTCCCTTTTTGGCCAGGTTAATTGAGTCCGAAGTGCGAGCCGCTCTATGCCGTCCCCCTTCCCTTTAAAGGGCCAGCGAAGGCAGAAAATCCATAGATCCGTCAGGAAAATACAAAACCTATAGATTTCTGACTGCCAGCCCCTTTAAGATTGATTAGATCTAGGTAAAAAAGTCGGCACTATATTTTTTTAGGTCGACGAAAGCGACGGGCTTCTCGATGGCATCCGGCAGTCGCATTCGTTCGACGAAACCCGGGCCCCGATGCTTGGGACGGGTAGGACACATTTTCGGTTCTTTGGTAATATCCGGTGGGGAAAATAGCTGGAAATTGTGATTAAAACTCCAGAAAATTTCGATTTTCGACAAAATCCTCGAATTTTAGACATTTTCGTAAGGGTGATAAATGGTTTTTCGACCCGAAATTAGTTCTACAACAGCTTTAATCGCTTAACTTTTGACTTCCTGGTCCCTTTAAAACCCGAAGCCTGACCCCCGAAAATTGGCTGATCTACTCGCCAAGGGATCTGATCCCAGCGGGCTGCCGGGGCTTCAAAACACCCCAATTATTTTGGGGCCCAGCGAATCCCTGTGGCCCTGAGAAACCCCTCAACACCCTTGGACTCCTTGAATTTGTTGGGTTCCAGATGGTCGCCGTCCGGCCTCATTCGACTGCACCAGTCGGGCTCCGCAACCTGAGGCTCCGGTTAGAGCTCCTTCATTCGATCTGGGGCGAGGGCTGGACTTGCCGACTAGGCTGGGATTGACTCTGCCGAATATGTTGCAGGTAGGCGCGAGAGAGAGAGAATTCGAGAAACAGCTACACTTTTTATAATTTTTCCACTTTCAGATGCACCCAAACTCCCTGTCCCCCTTGCCACCGTTAAGCGGAATGTCCGGTGGCCTCTCACCACTCCATCCGGGTCTCTCATCCTCCCTCACTTCCGCTTTTTCCGCCGTCGACGTGCCCAGGCTGATGGTGCACTCCCCGATTGAAAATAGGTATGCTAGAATCCTGCACAATTCCTTAAAAATCTATGCTGGTTTGCCTTGGAAGCGCTGAACTGCTCGAATTTACCATTGGAACGCCAGAGATCGAGCTAGCAGATTTGCGGAATCCTGACAGATCATCGGGCTCGTCCGAACTGCTTGAACTTGCCGTGCCAATGTTACCTAGTAAAAAAATGTTCTGGGGTCGGCGAATCCATAAAACGGCTCAATGTCTTTCAAGAGCTTTTGAGCTGATCGCACTTGTTGTCCGGGAAACGAAAAGGAAGTAGAATATGATGGCGATTCGAACAGCTCAAATTTGATGTCCCACATGTCTATTAACACCAGCTAGCAGATAAAAAAAAATTGATAGCGGCCCGAACAGCGCGAAAATGTGGGCCCAAAGATCAATCGCGACAAGCTAGCGGAGAAGTTTACGGAATTCACGAAAGTTCCACGACGTCGCGAACTGCTCGAACCCGGTGACCCAAATATTAATCAAAGCATGCTAGCAGAGATCATTGAGGAACAAATATTGAGAACAGATCTTGACAAACCCCTTCCTATTCCGCGCCCCATCTACCGTACCCGTGTTTCAGATCCCCGATCCCGGGCCTATCCCCCAGCCATCATCCGTCGGCGGATATTCGTCTCCTGACAGTCCCCTCTCCCGACCCATCTGCTCGTCTACTCGGTGCCCTCACCGTCGAGCACTTCAGAAGATCTCCAGATTCCTCGCGGTCGCCTGTCGGTGCGTTTTAAAGGGCACGTGACAAGTTCTGAGTGAAGCTGGAATACGGCAATTTTGTCCAAGTTTTAGGCGACGCAGCAGCCGAAGTGTTGGCCTCGATGAACAACGCGATGCTCGGGCTGAACGGGCAGTCATTCGGGCTTGGAATGGGGTGGGGAGCGGCGGGTCCGCAGAAAATCGGATTATCTCACTTATCACAACAGGTGAGGGTTAATGTACTCTTGCGTAGTGTATTGTATTACGTTCGTAGCGTACTCTATGATCATCTGCGTAGGCTATCGTACGTTATCGTACTCTGACGTAGCGTATGGTACTACGCTGTATGCTCTGATAAACTGGTAGCTCATCGTGCGTTTTGTCATAAATGAACGTAGTGTTTCGTACTCTACAGTACTCCACTGTCAGCTTGAGCAGCCAATCGTACACTAACGTAGCGTTGAGTACACAAGTGTAGCGAGCCGTACTCTACCGTATCATCTCGTACAGGACCGTAGATCACAATAACTTATTGAAACGTATCATATCGAAGCGTACCGTGACGGAATGCATCGGAACGAATCATATCGGACTGTAGCGTACTGTATCGTATATTTCAGGAAAGCGGTGATTCGCTTGGCGATGACGGCAGTATGGGAATCGATCTCGAGGGGTTGGCCCCGCATATCGCACAGGTACGGTAATAATTAGCAAAAAATATTTTTCGGGTATGGAAAGGTCATTTTAAAGAAACTTGGAAGGCTATATTTTCTGTCAACTACGAAAATACCGATGGCGTAAAATCTCAAAAGCCAAAAACTTAATCCGGAAATCTCGACAGCGATAATCCCGACAACTATATTTACATCTATAAAATCCATAAAGCCAAAATACCGACAACCAAAATAAACAAAAAGCTGTCGGCATTTCGATCGTCGGGATTCTGGTCTGTCGGTATTTTGGCTGTCGGTGTTCTGGCTGTCGGTATTATTACTTGTGGTTGTCGAGATTCGAGTCTGTCGGCTTTCTGGCGATCGGGATTTTTGCTGTCGGTATTTTGGCTGTCTGGATTTAGGCTGTCGGGATTTTGATCGTCTGGTTTCCGGTTTGTCGGGATTTTGGCTGAATTTTGAAAATCGGGTCACACTTTCCCCTCCCCCGTTCGGCTCAGAACCGACTCACGAATCGATACGGGTCGTGTCGACCTGTTTGTCCTTGTTCCCGTCACTTCCGCTCTCTTTCCCCTCCCACCCGATCCAAACCTGCTACGCGGAACTCCTACCCACACGACCCACTTCCACCCCAATCATTCCCCTATTTCTTGCCCTCCACAAATTCTCTCAAAAATGCTGCCCGTTAAATACGAGTATCCGGACGTGGATTGTGACTGGGGTTTGAATGAGGTATTTGTTAAAAAAATTGGAAAATATTTTTAAGCAAGCTTTTGCGTTCTAAAAAATTGTCAAAATACTGTAAGCAAAATCACCTCTAATTTTTTTAGATGGCTGCCCAGGCGCAACTGGCCTCGCCCGAGTTGATGGCCCAAATGCCACCCAAGTCGATTATACAAGGTATTTTTAAAATTTGAACTATAAACGATATACAAACTACAAACCAAGCCGCAACCTCAATAATGTTTTTAAGAAGAAGTCCGTAATGGCGGCGGCCGCTTTCAGCTGGTCCGGAAACGCGGAAGGAGCGAGGTATCGGAGAGTACATTACATAAAAAAATGATTTAAAGGTGTGGAACCTGTTCGGACAGGTGCTGGACACGCTGACCGGGGTGCGGTTGCCGTACGTCGCCTGCTACGCGTGCAAGGTGAGGCTCAAGCTGGGGGGAGATTTTAAAGGGACCGGCAAGGCATGCCCATGGATTCGTTATGGATTTTCCCTCCCGCAAAACGGAATGCTCACGTGCAAAACTTTCTTATCCTTCTTTCTCTCTGAACTGCTTGGACTTGAGATTGACCAGGTCAACTTTTCGCAAAAATCGCATCTCGCATCGCATCAAATCTATAATCGCAAAAAAAAATAACGAAGAGATAGATATTCTTTTTTCGTCGTTAAGAATGAATTAACCAATGCGCTTTTTACCGTACTCGCCGATAGCGCTCTACCTTCAGGTGCTGTACACGGACACGGGCGGCGGAACCGGAAATATGACGCGCCATCGATGCCCGATCGGGACGTCGTATCGGAATAGTATGCCGAGGTAGGAGATTTCTCGATCCTAAAAGCGCCCTTTTACAGTACCTCCTCGGAGACGGCGGAAGGCGCGGCGACGTCCTCGTTCGACTCGATGTCGTCGGCGCAGATGCCGAGGAAGAGGAGTTGTACGCCGGATCGGAAGCCACAGGCGAATAATGTAAATTCTCTCGCTCTATCTCTCTTCTCTCTCTCCGCCTTTCCCCTCTGAACTCCTCGAACTCGGGGCCTAAGCGAAAATTTCCCAAACATATCGTCAGTTTCAGAACGAAGGTGCCTCCTCCCCACTCCCGTCCTCCAATCGTCAACCCTCCCTCCATAGTGGCCATCCATCGCCCGGTGCAGTAGGCGACGTCGAGAAGGAGCTGCTCGCAGAGACCGCTGCCCGCGCAGCGGCTATTGATCTGCGCCCCACCCAGCACTTCACTGTACGTTTTGAGCTGTCACGGTCTCTAAGAGATCAGGAAGGCCCCATCAATTAGCGTAAAAAGTTTTCGCGACTTTAAACCTTTGCAGAGCGCTGGTTTCCGCCAAATGTGTGGTCGTCTACTGCTGCTTGGGCGTCGTTACGGGCAGTGCTCACCTTCGGATATTTTGCCGGATGAGGCGATGATCCAGAATTCTCGGGACAACCTGCTCCGCTTCTCGCTTGAGGAGATTAGGAGTGAACTGCGTGGCGTCGGGGTCGAAGTGACGTTGTCGGTGGAGAAGCTTGAATATAAGTGGGTTTTTATTTTGATAATAGTAGCATAGTGAGCGTGAGAGTAAGAGAGAGTGAGAAAAATTAAAGAGAGAGCGCAGAGAGAGAGAGAGAGAGAGAGAGACAGATAGAGAGAGCGAAAAAGAGAGAGAAAGATAGAGAGAGAGAGACAGATAGATTGAGAGAGAAGCGGGAGAGAGACAGATTTAGTGAGAGAGAGCTAGATGAGCTGTAAAATGCATTAATGAAACATCATACTTCCATTTTCACTCAATTTTAGAGGCATCTGGAACGTCGTGTGGGCGTCTCGTCTAACCCGAAACTGGAACCTCAAGCACCTCATCATAGGGTTGGTCCAGCTTATGGATTTTTGCTACCACATTCCCTCAAAATTATTAAATAGAATGTGTTTTGATGAACGATCTAACTTTTCCAGTGTCTACCCATCTTCCGTTACGGAATGTGATGCTATTCGGCTCGCCCTGAAACACCTGAACCTGACCCTCGACCCGGAGCACACCAGAACCCTTGGCCTACCGCAGACGTCCGAAAACTTTGAGAACATCCCCGATATTGGCGCCGTGCTCGAGCAGGTAGTTTTGCTTGGGAATCACTGCTGGCTTGTCCTGTCCTTAAAAAACGCTGCTAGTCCGGCAATCCTCTAAGAATCTCGTCCGGTCTTCCAATTCCCTAATGGTCTCTGCTAGCTCCAAAAATTGATCTTTGTCTTCCGTAGTATGCAAAATTGAAGTAGATTCTGGAAAATAGGATTTGAAATCCCGAAAAATACGAGCGGATGTGCGCATTTCCGGACCCACGCCCCCACCCCTTTCGGGACCGGATCCGGAAATGCGTCTCGAGGCGTGGAATGTACTCGAAATGGTCGTGGCCACGAGGGGATTAGAGAAATGGTCGGAGATTAGGCGGGGAATGGCAGTGATCATGTGAATTAGAGGGGCCGAAATTTGCATAGAAAACGATAGAAAACTCTATCTCTCTCTCTTTCTCTCGCTCTCTCGCTCCCTCTCTCTCCTCACTCTCTCACTCTCCCTCCCTCTCTCTCTCTACCCCCGATTTCCAGGTGGTTTCCTCAACCCTCTCCCCCGACCATCGTGCCCTCCTTGACCGTCTCGCCGACCTCCGCCGCCGTGTCGTCCAAGTCGGCGCCCAGATGCCCCATAAATTCCCCCAGAAAATCGCGCTGACCGGCGTGCGAGGATGGTAGGGAGAAGCCGATCCCCTAGATCAAGTCTTTAGGTACGAGGAGTGCCACACATGGCGGCTACACCATGAGGCTCTACAGGTGCTCCTCTCCAAGCACTCCGGGCTTCAGGCCGAGGTCGCCGGGTTGCCATGGTCTTCAGTTGGTGACCTCGACGCATTCCTCGAGCCCTTCCACGAGTCGTTGACGGCGCTGGCGAACGAGATGCAGCCGACGCTGAATTTGGTAAGCGCGCATCAAGTTCGAGCTGTTCAGTGGTACTGCGGCTTTCAAGTAAAAAGCTCAAAAAAATAAGCAGTGAACTTGCCGCCTAAAGTTCGAGCAGTTCGGTCAGCAAAGTTTTGTGGGTTACCTTAATCACCATCGAATTCGAGCAGTTCGAGCCGTTCGGTTATCGAATTTGGCTTGGGCGCGTTGCCGTAAATAAAATTGACGCCGTAGAAGCTAACAAAAAGCAAGCGAGAGAGAGAGAGCGAGAGAGAGAGAGTGAGAAAGAGCGTGAGAGAGAGAGAGAGATAAATGGGCTCCGTTTAACCTAATTTCAAGGTGATCCCCGAGTGGTCGGCGCTGGTGCACGAGTGTCGCGTCGAAGAAGATGACGACCGTCTTGCTCCCGGCCTTCGAGCAATGAAGCAGCAGGCTTCACAGCGTCTCGAAGAAGCCGCCTCCTCCCTCCAGCCGGTCCACCGGATGGCTGCTATTCTGAATCCAAGGCTCGCCAGAAGCTTGGCGATATTGTTCACGGACCAGCAACGGTGGGTTGGAATTTTAAGTTTTTCGCGGGGCGGGCAAGGCATAGATATGGAGTTTATTGTGTATCAGACAAAAATTACATCAATTTATTTACCCCAATTCTTCAGCTCCGAGACGTGCCGCCAAATCCGTGACCTGTGCGGGATCGCCCCGCGAAGCGGCGATCGCCCATCTAGTGGATCGTCGATAGGTGCGTAGCGTACTAGAAGTTCTAAACTTGCCAATCCTTTAGACGCCGACGAGCCATCACGAAAACGTCGTCTTTTCCTGTCCCAGCTCGAAAGCGGCGGCTCGACGGATGATGAGCTGGAATGTTATAGTCGGAGTCAATTCCCGACCCAGCAGACCAGGTACGAATAATAATTACAAAAAGTTACTACAAAAACGTTTTAAGGGAAGTGTTGACCTTTTGGAGCACCGCTGGATCGTCCCAATTTCCGGCGCTTGCCGGGCTGGCGAGACGGCTATATTCAAGTGAGTTTCAGATAAAAATTCTCAACAAAACTTTTCCAGAAGAATCACTGCTAACTTGCCTTGCCATATTTGACTATTGACACTTTATTTTTACATAACTTTACAGAGTTTCCGAAAAAGACAAAAACTTCTGAAAGTTTTCTTAAAATTTCAAAACTTCTTAAAAGATTTTTTATAGCTTGGTGTTATCAAAAACCACGAAAATACGATAAAAATACATTACAAATTATTGACAGGAAAATTCATAAATTTTTAGTGCCGGCCGTCCCGCTGCGATCCTACATTCCACCCTCGGCCTGCATCAGCGCCCCAGAACTGGCCACAACCCTCATCCTCCGGAGGGCTTTTGAGAATGAGACTGACGACTGACCTATCACTGTCCCTTTAAAAACTTTCAAAGCAAATACACATTACAAGTCAATAGCCTAGTCCCTTTAAAGGGACCGGCAATGCAACTTAAGTTTTGTCCATAAAACCCCGATTTTTCGGTATTCAGATTTCTATTTCCACAGATTTCTAGCTGATTTCTTGCTGTCTGCAATTCGCACTATTCCGTAGTTGTGCTTTTTCTTTCCCTGTATGCCCATAGAGGGTAAGGAGGATGAGTTGAACGAGTTGAACTAGTTCTTGCTCCCCTTCTACCCCCCCCCCCCTAAACACCCCCAGCCATATCAGCCGGTTTTTGTCCTGGGTGTCGCGGCAATGTGTCGTTACGTCGTCGTTGTGATTGTGTGCATATCTTCTTTTTCTGGTTTTTTATACAGTTTCTTTTTTTACCTAAGTCATCGCCCTATATAATTAAGAAACCCCGAAATATATATATATTTTGCTACGGGTTTCCCCTTCTTCTCTACTCCTCCTCCTCAACTCGACTCGATCTCCATATCCCCAAATTTCTATGATTTTGATCTCAAAATGTATTACGAAACGTGGAAGTTGGTTGTGGAATAAAGTTTTGCCGTTTGTGGCAACGAATCGCTGCTAGTCTGCCTTTTTCGGGGTTTTAACAGCTAAAAATTCATTCGCGTAAATAGAATATTTTCAAAGCCACATTTGAATCTTAAATTATTTTTTCCGAAACTTTTTTTACGTCCAAAAATTCGCCTTTTAATTTCTTGCGTTTTTAGAAAACAAAACCACCTATTAATGCTACAAAAATGCATGAAACCCTGAAATACTAATAGCATAAAACTATTAATTGGAAATTCCCGCTCAAAAAAGCTCCGAATTTTGTGAGTTTAAAACCACCAGCAAGTCCCGAAAAATCCCAAGAATTCCCACAAGAAAATACGCAAATTAGCAGGCAGGTGCCGGGTGCGCCTTGTACGCACCGGCCGGAAAATCCCGTTGCCGCGAAATTGCGGGGGACTGCGCGCCGCGCGGGGCGCTTGATACGGCCGGGGGCAGAACTTGCACTTTTTTGGGCGGGGAATCGGAAGGTGGATTGCGGGATGGGCGGAATTAGCTTAATTTTAAAGGGGTTGCAAAGGCAAAAAGTTGATGATGTCGAAATCCTTACTGCCGAATTTTCATAATTCGAAATAATACCGAAAGTTCATAACGTTGAATTCATGATGCCGAAGTTTCGTAATGCCGAAAGGTCGTAATGTTGAAATTTCGTAATGGAAAACTCTGATAATGTCGAAATTCATAGCGGAATTTCAAAATGCCGAAAAGGGACGAAATTTCAAAATGCTGAAATTTACCAATGTTGACATATTAAAGGAGGCATTTTTCCAGAAAAAATCATAAAATTTCGAATTTGCGAAATTTCGACATTATAAAATTTCGACGTTATGAATTTCGGCATGAAAGTAACCTGGAAGTTAAGCAAATTGTCCGATTCTATGCCGCTGGAGCCCGCAACGAACGTTCTAGATTTTGACAGCTTGCCAGGAACATTCCCAGCCCCCAGATATTTTCCGGGCCATGCCGGGGATCGGCAGGAAACAGGCCGGTGGCGCTCCGGATCGGACCGTTTTCACGCCCCCAAAATCATAGGCTTCCCTCTTTCCTCTGTCCTCTTTTTTGGGATTGGCTGATCCGGGCTGCATGCCCCGAGGGCACATTTCCAATCTCCCGCTCATGCTCAAAACGGGTTGACCCTCATCCGCCCGCCCGAAAGAGGAGAAAGAGCAAAGCATTGGCGTGCTGCTGCGGCTTTTAAGCCTACTGTTTACCGGGGGAGCCTCGTGGAAAGTCGCGCCTATTCGTCTTCCTCCTCCTCCCCATTTTTCCGCAACCATCCAGTTTTCGATCAGCATCTTTGTGAATTTGTTTTCCCCTCGCCGGCTTCTCGTTTGGCTTTTCGCGAAAGCTCGTTAGTCGGGTTTGCCTTTCCTCGGCTCCGAGTTTGAGGTTGGTTTCGGACTTTCTCGAGCTGTTCTGTAATTTTTACGTGGATATCTGCGCTATTTCGCTTTAGAAAAGCTACACTTCAAGGGACCGGAAGTCGGCCGCAAGTACGCGCTCAAACGTGCGCAAACGACGCGCTGTTTAAGCTCCAGAGTCCCGAATTGCTCGAGGTTGACGCTCGCCTTGTCAGTATGGCATCAAGTTCGAGCAGTACAGGGTTGCTGTGCTGAAAAAGCCGCGTCGTTTGAGCACGTTTGCGGGCGTACTTCGAGCGCGTACTTTGAGCGCGTACTTTGAGCGCGTACTTTGAGCGAAGTGCCAGTCCGGTGAGGTCCAGGTTAAAACTTTACAAGCCCATGTTTTTCGGGGCTTTCATAATTCCGAATACTCCCATTATTGTGCGGCCCAATCTCGATCTCATCCCCAGATTCCGCAGTGCGCCTTTTAACGCGTGCGGTTGCATCGGGTATCGTTGAGGAGCGCTCGAGACACAACGCATCCACAAGGAGTTTAGGCTCCTTTTAAACAACACCTATTTTCTTAGTAACGTCCTACTGATTTAGAATCGTCCTTAGAAAATCTCGAACCAGTTTTCAAGTATCGAATCGGACTCCTACTTGCTGAGTTATGCTCTTAAAAGCACCCATAAGGAAGCCCCCCCCCCAAAACCCCGATTGCTACACACATCAGCAACAAGCCCCCGGCCGAACTTGTTGCTCTCCTGGTCTCGGGCGCGATATATCTGCAAATTCTCGATGCCCATACAAAAGGGCACTTCTTCACCTTGACAACGCCGAAAAGCCCCTTCCCCCCACCAATCGAACTTTCATAGGCTACCCCCGAATTCGTGCCCATTCAATGGCAAGTTCGTGCTCACCGCCTTTAGGCGGTGCGAAAGGAAGCGTATTGCCTTGGGGAGCGCGCGCTAGGCACTACCGCTGCGGAGGCCGAATCCGGGAGCATGAGGACGAGGAACTTGCCGTGCCCTGCCGGGTATTGGACGGACCGATGACGAAAAACAGACAGAGCATCAGAATTTCGGCAGACAGACAGACATACGGGCATTCTTTTGTTGAGCCTGAGCTGCCCCTCGTGCTCCTTCCGCCACTCTGCCACTAAAACCCTATCATTAGCGCTGGGGCAATGGGCTGCCGATGCCTAAACTGCCGCTCCCCCGGCTACCGTAACCGTTGTGTGTTTCAATCACAACGCAGCTTCTCATTATCGCTTTTTTCGCGAGATTTATGGGAGTTCAAACTCCGGCTATATAGTCCGGTTTAGAACTACAGTTTCCGTTGGTTATTGATGCCAAGCTGTGGGCGATCTTTCTCACCTCTCTCTCTCTCTCTCTCTCTCTCTCTCTCTCTCTCGCTGTCTCTCTCAGGGATTACTGCGGCTCTACCCGTCATTAGTCCTTCTTCGGAATTAAGCACGCTTCCGAAAACCAAGACAACTTTCTCTCTATTGCTCTATCGGCCTCTATCTTTCTCTGGCTCTCCCTCAGTCTCTCTCGCTCTCTCTCTCTCTCTCTCTCTCTCTCTCTCTGCCGTTACTCTCGTACTCTCACCCGGATTTCTCTGTGTAGACTCAGCGCTCCTTTAAATTATACAAACTCCAGAAAATCTAGATTTTTGGCTTTTCTCTCGCTCCCTATCCATCCTTCTATCTCTCTTTCTCTCTAGCTCGATAACGATTTCTCTATCTTGGCTCTCGCTCCCCATAGATCTATTGCTCGCGCTCTCTCGCTCACCAGGATTTCCCAAGATCAACTAGCCTCCACCACTCCTTGAGCCACAACCCCAGAGCACCTTTCTACTCCTCACTACATCAGAACTTACACAACGCGTCTCTCTACCGTACCCACCACACCCATCCTTGTACTTCTTGCTCGAAAACCCGTCGCGTCGCGTAGCGCACCCGAGGCCATTTCCTCCCTTTTCCCCTCACCCGATCTTCCTGCCAGCCCCACCTTTCACTCACCATCGCCGGGCACTGTTTAGCCTCCCCCCATCCCATTCACTTCAGAATGTCCACGATTGATTACGGTTTTTAGAATCTTAATTGGGCGCTATTTCGGAATAGGGGACCCACTTTGATTACTCTAAAAACCACTTCTTCTGGTGTAATTTTGCGCGCTTGTTCCGAAATACGGTGTCCCAGCCCGCAAAAACGTACATTTGTACAAAAATATTTTATCTTTATAGGATGTCTTTAGGACATGAGACGGGCGGTCTGGGCGTGGCCAGCGAACTTGCTAGGAAACCCACTTGGATTACTATATTTTTGGCTTGAGCTTGACTTGACTAGAACACACATGCGCTAAGTATAATCTAAGTATTGGAACACCCACGCTTCCGTGTTTTAATAACAGCTTATCGCGACCTTACTTTACGTTACAGGGGCGAAGAGCCGGCCTAGTTTACAAGTTAGGCTCTACTCACGTTAACGTAGATCAGGGTCGCCTAGGCTTGGTCTCAATGAATCTAAGATCGGGCTTACTAGCATTTAGCATTATTTATGCATACGTTTAAGCCTCAAAAACGGAGCTAGGAGTGTATTGTAGCCAAAAGTCGGGCCTGCGCCGCTAGATTCCCTAGCAGCCCATTAAACTAAAATCAAATTTTTTGGTGAAAATGTTAGGTTTTAAAGTTAGTGAGGTGTTTTTTCGGAACCAGCGCGGAAAACTATTCAGGTAAACAGCGCACAAACCCCAGTTTTGGTATAATAAAAGTGGGTCCCCTATTCCGAAATAGCGCCCTTAATTGAATCCGAAATTTATTTTTGGGAAGATTGCAAAAGATAGCGAGACCACTTAACAGAAAACCATTAAACATAGAAACTTAAAAATAACTTTTAGAACTGAAACTACCATTAAAAATACTGGGAAAAACCCCAGTTATTTTTCTTTCAAAATAATGCAACTTAATTATGTCGAAATATGTTATTAGAATTTTCATAAACTCCGGAGAAACTCCAGAATAGCCCGCGAAAAATCCAGGATTTAAATTTTTCAGATGCGATATTATGACATCTCAAAATCCTCAAATGTCGATGTTATGAATTTCGATCTGAGCAGTTTCGGCATCATGATATCAAATCATTAGAGTATTCTATGGTTCCTAAAAGCTGCCCCGAATCCTTGCCAGTTTAACTTTTTGCTATTGCAACACCCGCAAAATGCCCAAAATCCAACCCTCCTCCTAAAGCCCGCCGAACGGCAGGCCAAATAGATCGAGCCCACCGATTACCGGAGGTGAAAAATTGAAATCCGATCCGACCCGACGCTTCCTCATCACGTAGCGCCCACCGTTGCTTCTGTCTATGAAATTTTTCAGCTTCTATCTTTCGCCTTTTCCTTCCCAAAGCATTTAGAAGCGAAAACAAACACAAAACCCCTATCCCGTTATAGCCAGAATACCATCCCCCTTCCGCCACAGTCCGTGACGCGTCCGCCCGTCCGGTGATACGGATGGATCTGTCGAAACGGAACGTTGTCACGCCGCAACAACGAAAGAATGGACTCTACCACATTTACGAGTGGAAGGACAAGAAGGTCGTCGAAGTCAGCAGGTGCGTCATTTTGGAGACGTTCCATTTCTGTTCCGCTTTCTTCCTCCTCTGTTTACTCTCGCTAAAAATCTATGCTTTTTGTCAAATCTAAAAATATCAATACTGTGAGCAAATCGCAACTTTCTTCCTCGTTTTGCTCCTAATCCGTTTCCCAAATGCCGCCCTGTCATGCAGCTTTCCCAGAACCCGCGGCCAGTTTCGATTTCAAAAGAGTAGCACCCCGCATAGAGCTTTACCACGAGGCGCCCTTTGATTCCAATCCATCCAGACAGCCCCCGGGCTGGCCAGCACAATGGCTTGCCATGAGGAAGCCCGCCATGGAACTGATAGTCGATGCCCCCGATGTCTGGCACCTTGCATTTAGCCGCAAGCCATCGAAAGACGCCCCTGTCCAATAGGAAAATTCTTTATGCGAGCGGCCGGTAGCGCAACGCTGTCCGTACGCCCTTCGGCATAAATTCTCGATAACGCCCCGGAAAACTTGCACAGACGCCTGCATCAACTTGGACGTAAAAGTCGTTTTCAGATTCAACCCACTGGATATCTTCCTAGTCTGTCTCGTCCCCTCGTTGACCGGATGCATCTCAGCAATCGTCATCGCGCTCCTCTTCCATCATGAACAGATCTCGAACTACAATTGGCAATGCGGGGTGAGTGCAACGTTTACATCCGCCAACAACTTGACGGCTGTATCTGACAAACTGTCCTCAGCCACATATCAGCGAAAAATGTATCCGTGCTGACCGGTATTCGCCCTTGGATGCCCGCTTAACCCCCATGCTATAAGCCTCCCTCCCTGTCAGACAGTCGTAGGGAAATTAACAATTTATTATAAACATGGGATCGGATAGACATTTGACAAACTATGAAAAATAAAGCACAAGTGTGCCGAGATTTTACAACGAGGTCTAGCGAATAAGGTGGTTAAAACGGACATCGGCTAACAACAAAGTGAAAAGTGTGAAAACATAACAAATGGGAACCGGGTGAAGTGGGGGTAATAGTATAGGGGACAAAAAACCCACAAGCCTATTAGTGTCGTGTTCAGGTCAGTGCTGGTGCATGTCGTGGAAGAATTGGCCGCCATGAAGAGACAGTGTGCCGTTGCAATACGGAGTCATGTTCGACACCGGGGTGTGCGGAGGCACCATCTGTGGGGCGTCGGCGTGCTTCGGGTGCGGATATGGCGAGACCGGTGGGGCCGAGAATGCCTCGTAGACGGATGGGCTAAAAAGCGGAAATTTATAACAATTAGCTCGCAAGAATATGGAAACTTTGTTCCGTTTACCAAACCACAATAATTATACCTGAGCTTGTAATCGAAAGATGGTGAATTGAAGCCCGGTGAAGGAGGAACCATGTGGAACGTCAGCGGGCTCGGAGAGTTGCGATGCGTGTAGATGCATCGTTGGACCGACAATGGCGAATGAGCGTTGAAGCGAGGTAGAGCTAAAAGCAAATCACCTTGAAAATTATCTACTACTGACCATGCGCATTGCGATACGGCTTGAATGTGCCATTCAGTATCGCAAGCTCAATCAGCTGTTTCCGCTTCAGCTCATCCGTTCCATCGGGTAGTGGGTTGAGCAGCTTGCGCACGTTGCGAACCGCGTTGTCGAGCTTCATACGCGCTCTCTTCTCGGTGTCTTCGCATTGAATGAGCACGTGTAGTTCCTCATCAAGGTGTTCCCAGTTGACCTTGCCACGGTTCATTTGTTCCTAGGACATCAAATATATAACAAAAAAACGATATAGCTATACCTTCTTGCGGTCACGCATCGAGCCCCTGCCGCGCACCATCATCTTACAGCCCGTTTCCTGCTCCAATTGTTTGGCCGTCATACCGCGTGGGCCGAGAATGCGACCGATAAAGTTGTACTAAAACAAGCACATTGTGCAAAAAACACACTTTACCGTTGGGAACTCTGCGGTCGGGACAAACAATTTTTCCGTCAGAACCACGAGTGGACCGGTCTCGTCAGGCAAATGCAAGTCTTCAGTTTCCAAATTCCGAGTGGAAGATCAGGGCCCGGATGCGAGTAATTTCTAAAAAATGACTAGAGCGACACCCAAACAACAAACCGGCTTCAAGGAGGCGCTCAAGCGTCGGAAACAACGGTGAAAAGGCTTCAATTTGTTTCTTCTCCTTCACGAGATCGGCCAAGTATTCCATCGGTGGCTTCGGGCTGCCACACTCCATCACTAAAAACAGATACAACAGATACACCACAATCACGAACCATTTTCATGGTCACTTGAGACGCTGTCATTGTTTGTTGAGTGTGTGCGCTCGCTGTGGGTCTTCTGCGGGGAGAAGCCGCCGGAGCTGTCGCTGTGAAGCAGGGAGACGTCTTCAGATGAGGAGTGGGCCCCGTCGAAGGCCGCCGTAATGAGCGTCTTTTTAGGCACCAGCGAGGTCAATTCGTGATCCAGCGACATTGTCCTGAAAAAAGAAAAATAACAGCGAATTGATATTTGAGAAAACCCCAAAGAAGAAAAAGGACAAAACACTGTTCTTTCGAAAAATAAATGGCGGCTGAAAAAGGAAATCGGCCTAAAGAATTATCTATTCCATAGCGCGCCAAATAACGGATCCGGAAAGTGGAGCGTCACGGAAGCTATAAATTTTATTTTTCAAAATATTCTGGCCCTAACAAAAAAAGTAATGCGACAAAAATAGTTTTAATAAAATTAATTTATTTATTTATAGAGAGCCCGACTTCCCTCGCTATCGCGTATCATCAACCTCCCTTTGGAGCGGACAATATGGCAAATGGTCGTGCTCTATCACGCCCCAATGAGGGTCATCGAGCTGACGACTGGCTGTACGTTGATGCTTTCAATAAAATCAAGGCCTTCGTTTAGTCATCCGCTACAAGCGCCTCCGCGCTCACGTTGTCCCTAACCCCGAGCTCTACGAGTTGAGGTAATTTTATTCTTTTCCCTCAACTTTGACTTCCAGCCGATACGTCTACTTTTGGTTTGGGATCGTCGAAGTGGCATTGATGATTGCGATCTCGATAATCGGAGAGCGAGAAAACATCAGTAAGCATTTTTGTGCTTTTCTGATTCTAGCTTCAGAACTACACGTGATCCTCTTCTACGCCTTCGGGCTTATCGGGATGGTCCATTTCTCCACGAACATCTACTGCCATCGTCATTCGCTGTATTATTTAAACCCATACGTAAGACTATATTTTAGAAAGTTAACGCATTTTCAGGGAAAAATCGGGTATCGCTTCAAGATGCTGTTCTTCTGCCTCTACCTGGCCTCGGCGCCGATCCTCTGCGCGTCGTTTTATTTGTATTGGAAGGCCTGTATAACTATAGGTATTGTTATAACTAGTTTTTCAGTGGTTTCCCCATTTTCAGCTTATGACATTTTCGCGATCACGGAGTATTCTGGCGTCGTCATCAACATTGCATTCCATTGTTTGGTCTTTTTCGACATTCGGCACAAGGTATTGTATTAAATTTCCTTTTTTAACATATTTCAGGTCATTTTTTCCGTTCGTGAATACGTGCCACTACCTCCACAACTTACGGATGTCGCCACCAATAAGACGGCCAAAGACAAAGACGAAAAATGTTGCACATGCCGGTCTAAGGGATAACTTGTACACTATGCCTTTAATATGTATGAATTCTAGTCATATGAATCTCGGATAAATTGCTCAAAATGTGCTTTTTGAAGGGACATTCCATCGGCTTTCCAGAGATTTGTTTCAACCGGCGTTTTTGTGCCCACCAGGTTGACTCGATCCCCAGTTCTCCGGGTCAGCACAAGTGACAACGACTCTCGGCGCTCTTTGCGAAAACGCTCAACCAAAGAGCTTTGTGCTCAAACAAATAGTAATTGTTTTGTTTACTTTTGGAAAGTTTTACTTTAAAAATGAAGGATTTGGATATGTCTGTTTAGTCGATCGACCAAATTACTAGGTTTTTACTGTTTTTTACTCTGTGTTTTTCTCTTCCAAAGGCGCGTCACTGCGAAAAAATCTCAGAAAATATAAATACATTTCAGGCGAATGCTTCAACGATGCGTGCGGCCACTTCTAGCGCAACGTTTCATCTCAACAAGTCTGCTGCGACGAGCCGAAGCGCTAGAAGCACCCGTTGAGCCCGGAAAATTGCGGCGCAAGGTCGAGGGCGTTGTTGATGCCTATGAAGACTATATCGGGATCAAAGCCGTCAAATTGGCTCAAGCGGAAGTTATGGAGGTAGAAGGATAACGCTTGGCTAAAAGGTTTTTTAGTGGGAAAACCGCTTGAGCGATGCCCAGATCGTGCGAAGAGAAAAGCAAGCCGAGATCAAGAGCATTCAGCGGAACCTGAAGGACATACACAACGAAATGGATAGGACGTCCCGTGGAGAGGACAGGTGCGAAACCGCTTTCTTTTTACAAAGTTTTTAGATATCTCCACCTACTCACAGAGGAGCATCAATTGATCAAGAAAGAGAAGGCGCTGCTGGAAGCATTTGAAGGGCACGAAACGGCCGAGCGAGAAGCCTTTCATCAGTTGAGCAATAGGTAGAAAAGCTTCAAACGGCTTCAAATAAGGCATTTTCCAGAGTACGAACGAGTCATGAAAAGGAGCGGGAGCGCGTGGAGAAGACGAAATGGTGGTCAGTCAGCGCATCGCTAATCGGCGCCCTGCTTGGAATTATCGGGACTACCATTGGTGGGTTTTAATCTTTAGCTTTATTTCATTATGAATATTTAGGAAACGAATTGCGTATGTCAAGGCTGAAGGAGATCGTTGGAAGCGAGAGGACAGAAGCTTTGGCCCAAGCAGTCCATGAGCAAAATCAGAAGGTATATATTTTCCTGATCTACTTTCTAGTTTTCAATTCTAGGTATCCGCATTCCTCATCGATATGCGAAAAGCACTGCACGCTGAAGGTTCCTCCGACGCCACCCAAACGCTAACCATCGATACCAAAGATGTTGAAAAGGTATCTTTAACTCTGTTAGAACCCAGACAATTGATTCCAGCTTATGAATGAAATCCGCACGGAAAATGAGCGGTTGGCTTCACAGATGAGCGAATTGAGTCGGCTGGCCCGGCTGGAAAAGTCGCTGGAGACCGAGGGAAACGTGGTAGTTGACAGTGTATATGGAATAAAGTTTCTTAGGTATACGTTGGCAACGATATGCAACGGCTACTCGACGAAACCGAGAAGAAATTGGAATCAAGGATGAAACTGCAGACGCTCATTTCTGTGGTTAGTAGAAATTTCGAAAATTTAGCCACCATTTCTAGGTGTTCCTCTACGCGGCAATCGGCGTCACGATACCGCTGGCCTTCGCCTTCTTCCGCGGAAACTAGGAGCGCGCTCGACCAAAGCCCACTGTATTTATTTTACGAGTAATTGCCTTGCCTTGTTTTTGTCTGTCTCCGATTTGCGTCGTCTGGCCCGGTTCCCCTCTAATGCTTGATACGGGTCCCCATCTAGGTGTTTGTGAGAATTGTCTCTGGATTCTTAGGAGCTTGTGTGTAGTGTATAAATGGTTAAGTAACACGTTTATTTACTAGCCCATTGTTTTAAAAGCGAATAAAATTCACCGCTAACGTCTCCCGCGCCGTCCCTTTTTCCAGTTATTGTTGATCACATTGTTTTCGCGCCTATCATCGTCGCCTAGCGTGATGAAGTCGTTGGGGCGGACGAGTGGGGTCTAATTTTTTTGTATTTTCAAAGAATTTTTACTACCTCGATGACGCGCTTATCCTCAAAATCGAGTTCATCTAGCTGGCGCATTGTGTGGAGCTTTACGAGGAGTAGTTTTACCTTCAGAGCGGCTGTTGATTTTTTTTGATTGACTTACGACATGTTCGAGCTGGTCAATATTGTGGGAGTAAACCCGCGAATCCGGGAACGACACGGGCGGCAAATCGGAGCGGTTGAAGAGCCCGGCTCGGCGCATAACCTAAAGGGCTTCTTCTACATTTTTTCGCCTACCTTTCCGGTGACGTGCTCCACAATTTCGTAGTCGTTGGTTTGGAGCCGAGAGTCGTTTCGAACCTGGAATCCATGAGGGTCAGTATATCCCTCAAAAGCCACCTGCTCAAACTCGTACATGACAATCATGATGAACATGTTGATCAAGATGACAGTGCCGGTGATCATGAATATGATGAAAATGGCCGAACCTAAATCGGGTTGAAGTATTTTTTGCGTATTTCAATACCCAATGGTGACGCGCTGATGATGTCCGACAAATCGAATTTTCCCAACATCCCAGATATTCCGGACTCGGTGACGGAGAGCATGTTTCGGAACCGCTCCAGCTGAATTTCGGGTTATTTAAAAACTTTTAGCTATAAAACCTTGTCGAACAACAGCAAAAATAGGGCCGAGTTGAAAGCCATGTTGACGATGCCGAAACAAATGGAAAATGAAGCCATTTGACCGCCAGCCTTCGAGAGCGTCATGGCCAAGACGGAGATGCGGCGGTTAAACCTGAAAAATTAGCGGTGATTTTCTAGCTTTTTGCTTGCCTTAGAATCCGAATCATCCGTAGTGACACGAAGAACACGACGAAGGCGAGCAGCCAGGTGAAATACAGCTCATAATCGCGTTGTTTTCCCAGGTTAATGTACACATTACCATTTGTGGCTTTGAACTCCTCGGTGACCTAGAGATATCTACAGTTTTTAAAGAAGAAGCTAAACACACCTGGACAATGGCCATATAACGAAAAGCGTAGGCGTAGAGGGAGGCGCATGCGATTAGCATCGTCAGGAAATCGACGAAATTCCAGAATTCCAGCAGCGGCCTGAAAGCTAATTTTGGAAAACGCTGATCAAATACGTCAAGCCATTTCGGATGATGCTGATGATCTGATAGATAGTGATGACGACCACGTAGCAAATGTAGAGCGACTCAAAGTAACCTGACATCTGGAAATGAAAAATAAAAGTTGAAGATGGCCTTTCGACTCCCTACCGTTCCGTCAGCTCCTCCATTTTCCAGTAAGCGCACCGTCTCGACCCAGTAGGACGGGTAAATCGCACCTGGGCAAAACGTAAATTTCAGGAGCTTTTCAAACCATCCGGCGGCTTCTCCAAAAGTAGCTGAACAACGGCAAAGTAGTTTGTCTGCGCGTTGTAGATGGAGAATTCGGTGATGATGGCCCGGGTGTGCTCGTCGATCCAGCTAGAAAAAGGAATCATCAATCTTTCGGGTTCTTTTGCAATATCAGGGGGGGAACACATATGAAAATATAGGTCTTTCTACACTTTTTTTTTGACCATTTAGAAAAGTAAAATTTATAAAAAAAAAAAAAAAAAAAAAAAAAAATATTAAAAAAAAAAAAAAAGAGGGGGGGGGGAAAAAAAAAAAAAAAAAAAAAAAAAAAAAAAAAAAAAAAAAAAAAAAAAAAAAAGAGGAAGTTTTTTGGGTTTTTAAAAAAAAAAAAAAAAAAAAAAAAAAAAAAAAAAAAAAAAAGAAAAAGGAAGGTTTTACTAAAAAAACCGTTTTTCGACGTAATGACCAAATGTCGAACCAAATAAAAAAATTTTTAGGTATCTTTCTAAGTTTTTTTAAAAAGGCTTCTCCAGTTCATACGTAAAAAAATTATAAAAAACATTAAAATAGCTACTACTCCATCTACTATAAATTTAGGCCCTTGAAACCGCACAAACCCGTCGACCATCATCTGCCCAAACATTTCCTGCATCTCGTCGGTAGTCCCGTCGAGGTTGGCCGCGTAGCCTGCACTCGTGTAGCTGTCGTGGTAGCCCATGATGTCACGGCCTAAAATAACTTTTTTTTAGGCCTTAAAACCCACCTTCCAGCTCCTCGGCCGTCCGATAGATGTACGGGACCAGCGAGTCGTTGTTGCGCATGTCATCCGTGACGTTGGCCAGAATTTCGCCCCATCCCGGTGTGTACCCGCCGACCGTCACCTCGTATCTAGGAAGGTATTTTTTGTAATGTCTTACGTATGATAAAAAGGCAAAAAAAAAAAAAAAAAAAAAAAAAAAAAAAACGCGAAATGTAATTGGGCTAATGGGTTGTTCTTTGTTCTTTCAAGTTAGCCAGAAGCGTGTAAACCAAAATGAGAAAAACTTCAGAGCCTGGCTACAAAAAAAATACCAGGAAGTTTTTGGAATCTTTGTCTGAAAAGGCGCGCAATTTTTCGTAGAAGATCGTAATCGACTTTGTTTCTCGATTTTTCCATGAGACTTTATATAAGATTTATAGAAAACTTTTTGATTTTCCAACTGAAAAGAACAAATACGCCGTCAGTGGACAGTAATCGTGGATAGGCGCCCCGCGTACGTTCCTATTCGGGCCTCTTTACGTCAGCATTGCAAAATTTATAAAATCTCACTTTTTATCCGTAACGCCCTCACAGCCATTGAAATACTTGGCGACGCGCTGGTCGGCAAACTTGCAGTTGACGTTGGAGAATGAGCGGACCTGCCGCACCGTGCCGTATCCCATAGCTCGAGAGACCTAGAAGAAAAACGGATAAGTTTTATATGCCAATTTCAGGTTTACCTTATCGTTCAAAAACCCTCTCATATCCCACGCCGGTTGGTTGTCGTACCAAGAAACGCGGAGTGCTAAAAAGAGAGAAATGGTAGAGATACACTCGATTTACCTGTTGCTAGGGTCACATTCAGCCACACCCAAAAATCTTCCGCCTTGTTGATGTCCATGAAGCCGGTGGCGTCGGTTTGCGGGTCGAGCACGAGCAGCTGGCTGACCTGGGCAGGATTTGTTAAGAGTTAAATCCTGGTTTTAACTTATAATTATAATTATAATTTTAATGTAATTCTTTTAGCGTTACCTGTTGCTGATAGTAAAAGCCGTTGCGGTCGCGACAATAGTAGGTAAGTCCGAGGAGAATGCCGAGCGAACATAGGAAAATGATCACTTCACGCGCGGTCGAGAAGCTAAAAATATTTTTAAACAACCTTAACGACAATTTAGCTAATAAACTGTCGAGTAATGAAGAGAAAAGTAAAATTAAAGCCATAGAAGTGTCGACAAGCTCTGAACTATCACATTTTTGTAGCCAAGGCAGTGTTTTTAGCTCTTTGGCGTTATCGGCCGGGGGCAACTTTTTTGTATGGGTCGGGAAGTGCCTAGTAACGTATAAGGATAGGCTTTAATAGTGTTTTTTAGCAAAATCAACTGATATTTCAATTGGAAAAACTATTTAAAAAAACTCTGAAAGTTCGAAATTCCGTACGAAAATCGGCGATTTCGGTCCCAAAACCGAAAGTAGTATTTTACATAAAAACTTGTAGATTTCGCTTAGGAATAGTAAGAAACCGTGAGCAACACTTATTCTTGTGATATTAGAAAATTGGTCCTAGCAAAAACAAAAAAAGTTGGTCTCCTCGACTTACAGCTGCTCGTCACGCATTCTGCCGTCTTTCACTTCCTTGATTCGGTTGATGCTTGCCACCGTTCGACTCAGTTCTCGATTTTCGGGAGGTACTGAAATTTAGTTTTGACTTAAAAGCTGTAGATTTGAACCGTATGCGGGCTTGTCGATGACGCCGTGCAGCGTGAGGTAGGCACGCTCGGGGTCGGTGACGATGCCATAATCCGGGGTGCAGTAGACGCGGTAGAGGGAGACGATCAGGCCCTGGGTTAAGAAAAAAAGTAAGCGTATTCGAACTAACAGACACAGTTAATACAGACCGGGTTCTGTTGCATTATCGGGGGGGGGGGATTCATCAAGGACGGAAAACCAAATTTTCAGTAATCAATGTATTAATACAAATACAGCAATTTTATCTTGATTTTTACTATTATTAAACGCAGAGACTTCACAAACTTGTTTCAAAAAGCCAACAATATTGATTTTTTGACCTAAATTTCGTATTTTTAAATTGATAAATGTCTTTTAAATAGCTTTTCAATTTGAAAAAAATCGTTAATTTTACTGACGACACTGCTAAATTTCGAAAAAAATGACGAAAAACGGGATAATAGACTCCCAGGACGTCACCCCCCTTCCTCCGCCCGTTAATGAACCAGAACCTAAGAACCCACCTTCAGCGGCTCCGTCACAAAAATCCAAAAAAGCATCTGCATGAAAAAGCGCCGGGCGAAGCAGTACTGCTCCTCCACGTCGAGCTTGATGGCTCCCTGAACGTCTTAGAATTCGGAAAATTTAGCTTTTTACCCATAGCGCGACGATGCTCACGCCCATGAAGCCGAACACGCCCACCGTGAACAGCCCCCACTAAAACGCACAAGGTTTCCAAGCTTTCAAAATTATGTAAGTAAGGGGGAAAGTAAGCTACCGTCCAAAGCGGGTTCCAGCGGGGCGGCTTCTTGAAGTCGGGCACACAGTTCTGCACCTGGATCATCTGCCATTCCTCAGGCGACGAGCAGACACCCCTGAAAACTTCCGCTTGCTTTGTAAAGCTGAAAAAGCTCACGATCGCCAAGGAAAAGCGAGAAAAATTAAGAAACTATGGTACGCCCTTTTCACGGTCCAGGTTTTACGAAAAAAACACGTTTGATCAAACAATCATTGCGAAAAACGACAAACCTCGCCAATTCCGGTAGCACAAATGACGGGATGAGCATAATTAGGGCCAATGCCAACCCAGCGACAACCTGAAAGGATTTGAATACTATTTTATAGCAAGTCAAGCTCACATCCGTCCAATTGAAGAAGTAGCCAAAGATGTTCAGCTCGGGCCCGAGGCCCTGCCCGGTGTAGTTGGCCGTGTGCGGGGTTGAGAACACATTCGCCGTTATGCCGACTGAAAAATGAAATTTACAGCGGACCTGGGTTTCCTGTAAATTTTTTAAAAAATTCAGTAGCAGAAACCCCTGCAATCAAAATCCCGACAAATGCCATAATCCCGACAGACCGAAATCCGAAATACCGAAATCCTGCCATCAAAAATGCTGACATGAAAAATCCCGGGATTAACAGCCCCGACAGCCTAGATCGCGACAGGCAAACGGCAAAGTCCTAATTCCGACAGCCTGAATCCCGACAAATTCCATAATCCACACGAAAACACCGACAGCCAAAATTCCGACATGCAAAATAACTGTTTTCAAGGCCGCGGCCTTCAAATTGGCTTCAAAAACATGTCGGGATCTTGGCTATCGGTATTTTGCTCGTCGGTATTTTAGCCTATCGACATTGCGTCTGTCGGCATTATGACTGGAATTCGCCTGAGGATAAAAACGTACTGCACAAGATGGCGAACATGGTCATCGTGTGGTAGTCGACACCGGCGCGGAGTCGATTTGGTGTACCGCCGCCTGAAAACTCAGCATATAGCATTGATTCGGACCGTAGTGTGAAATTTAAGTAGTTTTCCTTCTCAAATCCAGAATACGCACCGCTCCACTGGGCGATCCAGTTGATCTGCTGGGCGATGTTGTGCATCCAGAAGGCCTCCTTGAAACGGTGTCGCTTTTCCAATGGGGTGACAGGGATCAGGCGTTCCGTCTAAAAATTTTGGCTTCAGTTTAGGACTAGGCGTTTGCTTGGCGTTGGCTTGGGCTTGGTTTTGGCCTGGCTTAGGCTTGGCTTAGGCTCGACCCTAGGCTTAGCCAAAATCTTGGTATGCGACTGTGCGAAAGCTCACCTTTCCATCCCCACTCTGTTGCCCGAACCAATTTTTAACGTTGAAGTAATAGTTCTTGTTGGCGTGCAGGTCCTAGATAGGAGATAAACCGTGACTTGGCTACCGTAACCCAATAAATACCTTGATAATGACGCGGCTACAGTACCAGGATTCTCGATGGCCGATACCTTCATGGTCGATCCAAAGTCGGATGGTTGAGAGATCGCCGAGACTTCTAGAGCGAGAGAATAAGAGGGCGAGAGGGAGAGAAAGAGTGAGTGAGAGAGAGTGAGAGATACCTATGCGTCGTCATAATGAATCGATCCGTATGCCCCCATCGGAATAACCTCTTCGTCCCAACGATCTCTCCGTCGGTGTACAACTTCCGCCTCAGCTCCGTCCCCTCCGACCCCTCGATGTTGATGAACACCTAAAAAGCGTAACTTGCTTGGAATTTTGAAGGAAACAAGGAGCCAACTACCGTACCCCGGAGTCCGTCTGGGCAAACATGGCGTAGCCCGTTTCGACGCACACGACGTACGGGTACGTATCGTTTCGGTGGTTGTCGTCAAGGGGGTGGATGAAGGCCTAGAAAATATTCTGATTGGCTTGAGTCCAGCTAGCTTGATCTTAAGCCTACGACTACGCCTAAGCTAAGCCTAAGCCAATCCTAAGCCAAGCTTAAGCCAACCCTTAGCCAGCCTTAGCGAAGCCTAAGCTAAGCCCAAACCAAACCTGAGCTGAGCCAAAGCTAGGCCTAGACCGGTCTAAGCCAAGCCCAAGTATACAACCTTACCGGTGACCACTCGTATGAGAAGTATTCCCGCAAGAAGCACAGGTAGAGCAGCATCATGTGGAAGATCATGAAGAAGATGACGATTTGGGCGTGGCAGCACAGCTAGAAAATGTTTTTTTTTACTTTAGAAACTTGTCAAAAAATCCCGATTTTCCCTTCCGTTAAGCCCCTACCACATATCCCTTCTCGATGTAGCTATACACGAAATCGGCCGGCACATCGGGGGCGTAGATCCCGTTGGCGAACACCGTGAAATGGGTCGTGGCGCATCCAACCTCGGCGTCACCGATGACAGGGGGTGTACCTGGCTAAAGAAAGCATTAAGTACCGTAGGCCCGACAAATGCATACCGTAACCCCTTGATTATCGTATCGATCTTCGGCATCCAAGAAATAGTAGCAGCCCTTGGTCAAGACGCGTATGGTGTAATCAAAGTAGAGGTTGCGTTCGAATGTCCAGTTTCCTAGAAAATGTTCTCTCTCACTCTCTCTCGCTTTCTCTCTCTCTCTCTCGCTCTTTCTTTTCCTATAATCCGTGCTTCGTCGAGGCGTCATTAGGCCGGGGACAGAGCGAGTGAGCGAGAGAGAGAGAGAGCGACAGAGCAAGAGAGCGAGAGAAAGAGAGAGGGAGAGAGAGCGAGAGAGAGAGATGGAAAAACAGAAAACAGAAAACTTCCAGCTATATGGTAACCCAACGTCCCGTACCAGTAAATCCGGGCGGAGTATCGTATTGTACGGTGTCGTTGGAGGTCGAATTGACCCCCGCCATGACGCCGACTCCAATGTAGTACAGCCCGGTCATGTTCAGCAACACGTCCGACTCGACGAAGTAGGCATTATTGCCTATAAAATGGGCTAAGGATGCGAGTTGGGCCTAGCTTAGTCTTAGCTTAGGCTTAGATTAACTTTGGCAAGCTCACCTCTATAGCTGCTGACTTGAAACCGGAAATCATGGTCTTCATCCCTGGGACCCGGCAGGGATTGGTAGGACAAGAAGATCCAGACGTCATTTGCAAACGGGCGATTCAGCGTCTGCATCTGCAGCTCGACCACGATCGACGTGTTCCACTGCACCGTGTAGAACGCGTGGATGTCCAGAATCTAAGGGGAGATGTGAAAAAACCAAAAAAGCAAAAAACAAAAAGTTACAACCGGCCGGGATCGAACCCGGACCCCGTGCCTGGTAGGCTAGCGCACTATCCACTAGACCACGGTGGAATTGGCTTTGAAATAAGTCAAAATCACCTGATAGGATTGGAAGGTGGCGGTGAACATCTCCACTTGCGCCGAAGCTGTCGCGTTTGACGGGCCGACGATTGAGGTTTGCTCCGTGGCTTCGGTGACCCTGAAAAAATGGTTTTAAATTTTTAAAATCCTTTGATTCGTTTGGCATTTAAGTTACACATTAATAAACGCTGAATTTTACGGACTACGCAATGATACCCTTAACGTAGTCTTAAATTACTCAAGACACCATTAAAAATCGAATTTTTCGCCACACGGATTTCATTTTTTGTAATTTTGACAATTTTCAGGTTTTTTACATTTTCCGAGGCTCTTAAAAAGCGCAGGAATGGATACAGAATTTTTCAAGCTACAAAATGATACTCTTAACGCGCCTTAAAGATGAACACTTACGGTATGACGGTCCCATTCTCCAAGTCTTTCAGGCTCAAATCGAGCGCTCCAGAAGTGATGAGGTACTGCGAATTGTCCGAGTACATGTACGGGTTCACCTGGAAATTAACATAGCACCAGATGAAATTAACAAAAATGAAAAATGCTATTGAAACTTATGGCTACTGACCACATAGCAAATCATCGACGCCCTGATCGTCGACTCGCCCGTCAGCGTGTCGTTCAGCGAGGCCGGCGTTTTCGGGAAGGTCGTCTAAAAAGGATGAATTCCGATGCGCTGCTGTTTACCGTCCATGTGTTGCACTCGATCGGGTTAGCCAGCACGTCGCTCGCGTTTCCGAGGCACACCTAAAAATCATTGTGGACTTCTGACTTCACAGCTCCTTTAAAGAATTTTGTATTTTCTAGTCCGCTGTTAAAACTTGAAATGCGATACAAACTACCTGTCTAAAACCTCGAAATAAGGGTGCGAAGCTACAGGTTACAAGCTACAAACGCTAAATACAAACTACAAAAACGAAACAGGTAAAGGCTACGCTAAAAACTATAGGCTACATTCCAGACTACAGACTACAAATGTTTGGTAGGGAGCGACTGACTACAAACTACAGGCTACAAATCTCACAACCCTCGTAAAGGACCTCCGAGACTACAAACTACAAGGCTAAAAACTACAAACTACAGGCTACAAATCGCAAAATCTTGCAAGGACCTCAGAGACGACAAAATACTGACCTCAAGGCTACAGACTACAAAATACAGGCTACAAACTACATGCTACAAATCTCACTAATCTTGAACTGATATCCGAGACTTCAAACTACTGATCTCAAACCTATAAATTAAGGACTACAAACTACGACCTCGAAGTTTAATTCATACCTTCAGCGTGTTTCCCCCTCCCGTCTGGGTGATACATTGAGGTAATGGGCCATCTAGAAAGTCCCTTAGATCAACTTTTACAACCCCTACTTTTCAATGCCGTCGCCACAAGCATGTCCTCGACGGCAGACAGCATCGATTTGACTTGGGCGGCCATTTGGCGGGCCTACAAAAAGAATGGCCTGGCTTTAAAGGGACCTGCAAGGCAAACACAGACGAGTTCCTGATTCTTTAAACAACGAAAGCTTTAAAGACTTACCAATTGCTGCTGGATGAGTTTTGTGGCCTCGAGGGCCCACTCCTCCTCCGTGTACTCGTCGACGTAGCGGATTTGACCTTAAAGGGGGCGTGACAGGAGGCTTTATAGAGATTCGACGAATGTTCTAAACCTTGAAAAATTCTACACTCTCCGCGAACGTACTCGCATCCTTGGGCAACACGTCGAAAATATCGTTGTAGTTGAGCTTCTCGTAGGCCAGGCAATTCTGCAGGTCCTGCGCTGACGGGTTGGCCAGCGCGGCGTCCATGGTGTTGAACAAGTCGGTGACCATTGATAGGGATTGTTGGGCAACCTAGAGAAAAAATTAGAGAGAGATAGCGAGAGAGAGCGAGAGAGAGAGAGCGAGAGAGAGCACTTGGATGTTCCTTTAAAACCGACCGCACTCTGCTGTTCAGGCGTCAGCGAACTGCCGTTGGCCCGGATAAAATCTTCGGCATTCTGCAGGACGGCCATCACTTGTTTTTGGGCCGATTGGTCGAGGATTGTCGCCGTGGTTAGGGCTGAAAAATCCTCAAATTATCTCTGCTAGGGCCCTCTGCCCAATTTCTCAAAGAATTTCTGCTAGCCTACCTTTCCCCATACCGCTTACCCTTTCCAATGAAACCAAAAATCGTTGCTAGCTGTTGGAATTTGTCAAACTTTCCCCCCTTTAAAGGCCCATAGAAGGAAACCACTCACAAACATCGCCGAGCTGAATATCTCCCTGTGTCGTGAACGTTCCTTGGATAATTGCATATCCGTCGGACCCGTTGCGCACGATCAGCCCGTCGTCGATGAATATCCGCTGACCAATTCCGACCTAAATAATCGAATTTTAGGTTTGAAGGGCCCGTCAAGTCAACATAAGGCCAAAGATGATCTTTTCCTACCTCCAGCGTTGTATGAACATGCACAGCAGCCCCTTCAGAAATCTGTCCACTCGAGATCCCGATGTACGTCGCGAAGTACTGGAACGGAATTTTTCTCTTTTTTAATTGCCGACCAAGCTACCGTAAACGTGGCCGATTCCAGCAGTAGATTATCATCGATCGTCTGGAAGAGCAGCGACGTCCCATCGTAGCTGACCGAGACCGATGAGTAGCTCTTTGTGTCACCGCCGACCATGTTCATCTGAAAAATTAGAAATTGCAGAGATTTTCGAGGAGTTGGCAGGGCATGTTAGCAGAGATTCTTTGAGGAATTCTTGAGAGGGCAGGCTAGCCCATGCTTTGAGGAATTTGGAGATGGCAAGCTAGCAGAGATTCTTTCAGGGATTTGGAGAGGGTAGGCTAGCAGGAATTCTTTGAGAAATTGAGAGAGGATGAGCTAGCAAATATTCTTTGAGGAATTGGAGAGGGTAGGCTAGCAGAGATTCTTAGATTCGCTGAAGAGACTTTTTATTTTCTGTACCGAACACCGTAACCCCTCTTTCCCTACCGTACCATAGCCGTTCCTTGCATAGCAGCACCGGATATAAATGCCTCGCGCAGAGAGCTCTGATTGTCATAGGATTGGAACGGAATGAAGGTGCCGTTGAGGACAGTCACATAGCCCGGGGAGATGTCCGGAAGCCAATAGCCTAGAGGGGGCTCTTTAGAAAACCGTCGAAGACCTGCCGGTGACGGTGGAGACGAATTGCATCTGGGCATTGCCCCCGGCCGTCTTGAACGAAATTGAGTAGATGCCCGAGGTGGGAGGGGAGTCGCAGAATGATGAGGAGATGCCTAAAGGGACTTGGAAGGCACGGGATCGATGATATGAAGCTTTGCAAAGTGTTTTGCGCGCTGAAAGTTGCTGAGCTTAACCAAGCTTGTAAGAAGTCAGAGCGTTGAAGAGAGAGAGAAAGTGAGGGATAAAGAGGGGGAGAGAGAGAGAGAGGGAGACAGCGAAAGAGAGAAAGAGAGAGGCCGAGAGACAGAGAGAGAGAGAGAGAGAGAGAGAGAGAGAGAGAGAGAGAGAGAGAAAGCCAGGGAGAGCGAGAGAGTGAGAGTGAAAAAAAGAGAAAGTCTGAGAGAGAAAGCGATAACGGAGTACGTCCTCATTTTAACACCTTGTCCTCAAATTCACCCACCCTCAATCCGGACGGGTTCAATTATCGCGTTGGCTAGTTGCGGATCGAGTGAGGCCGAATTTTGCAGCTAAAAAGTCAGTTTTCCACGGCTACCGTCCCCACCGTGGACCCCTGGATCGAAATTGCAGCCGTCGTGTTTGTCAGCGAAAGCACCTGCATTTGGCCGCCACTAAAAATTTGTAATTTTGCAAATAGTGTCAAATAGTGTAATTTTCTTGCCTAAAAGTGAGCGTGACGGGCTGGTCGTTGAAGAGGACGGTTACGGTAGTCATGGTGGCATTTATCAGCGTTCCGGCAACGAGATTCGACTCCAGATTCGAGTCGGCCTGAAAAAGCCAAAAAGCCAGGAGCACCGATTACGCTAAGCAATAACCATCGCTAGAGAAGGTTGCTTTTCTCCCAATTCTTATTCGTCACTTTGACGTTTTAGGTATTGTTACTGGATTCCGGAAGCGTCCTATTTCCGCTAACCCGTACCTTTTAACGTACCTGTACGCTGACGCTGCCCGATTGTATCGGAAGCCATGTGGTGATCGACGTATAATCTTGAGGAACAGATTCCGAGTCAGAGAACAGGGGTACGGTAGCGTTCCACAGTACGGTTTGTGTCGTCGATAGTTGCGTACCGTCGCTGCATGTGATCTGGAATTTGGACATGCTGAGACTCCAAGATTTTTGAAAATTTTAAGCGGGCAAACGAGTTGTAAAATCACCGAAGTATCTCCATAGAGCGTGAAAAACGAGAGCGGCTCGAAGATGGACGTGTTCATAAACGAGCCGAGGGCAACGTCGACGTCAGTGTCAGATAGGAATTGGATTGATGTTGATAGCTTGGTGATGTCGTTGATCACCTAAGTACGGAATTCCAAGATACACCTATTTACGCCTTACATTGACGGCTTCGGGGGGTTGTCCTGGATTGAAGGATCCCGGGGCGGACGTCGCCCACGATGTACGCATTCTGGCCTTCGATTGTGATCTGGAAAGTGTGATAGCAGGGTTTTCCGAGGACGTGGGAGACGGCAGGCTAGCATGGATTCTTTGAGGAATTGGGAGGGCAGTCTAGCAGAGATTTTTTAAGAAATTTGGACGGCACGTCAGCGTAAAATCAGGCAGACTAGCAGAGATTCTTTGAGGAATTTGGGAGAGAGAAGGCTAGCAGAGAGCATTTGAGGAATTGGAAAGGCAGGCTAGCAGAGAGTCTTCAGGAATCGGATGGGCAAGCTAGCGACGGAGATTTTGAGCGCAATTGGCAGAGGGCGGGCTAGTCAAGATACTTCCCCCAAATTTTCAACACATGGAAGCTTCAAATAAGGCAAACTAGCAGTGGTGCTTCAAGAATTCTAAACTCCCTACCGAGCTCATCGCCGATACCAGGGTGTACGTCTCGGCGATGATGGTGCCGTGAAGCACTTGGTAGGCGCCGAGATACTAAAATTGGCATGTTGATATAGATTGTAGTTTGCAGTCTACCCCTGAAGTCCCCGAGATCGACGTCGTGAAGCTGTTTTTCAGGATGTCGGCCAGAGAGGAGAGGACCTAAAAGGAAATTTCGTGTCCCCACGCCTCAAAGTTGAATTTTCGCGAGAAAACGTACCGATTGCAGCTCTTCTGGTGATTGGATGGTGACGTTGACGAGTTGGGCAAGCATCCCGCTTGCAATCTGAAGGGTCAAACTAGTTTTAGAAGATACGCACGAAACTTAGGGTAAGAAACGTACCCCGTAAGTTTAATTAATTGAAAAAACGTACGTCCGTCAGTCCTTGTGTACGGTTCGTAATCTGCGCCTTCACCTGCGCGATCAGGGTAGCGGTGTCGGTCGTACTGAAATTAAAAATAGCACGCTACGCAACGATACGCATACGGTAATTCCCCGTACTGTATCATAAGCTACCGTACAGTACTCTCGTACACTAAATAAAGAAATTCCGTGTAAGTACGCTGTCGTACACTGTCGTAGGCTATGGCGCGCTATCACACTCTATCATCAGCTACCGTACACTCCCCCATAACTTACAGTACACTTCCGTGGACTTCCGTATATGTGCTCCGTACACTCCAGTAAAATCTCCTACACTACCGTACGTTCTCGTACATTTACGGTACACTCTAGTCCACTACCGTACCCACTCGTACTCAACCGTACACTACCGCATGCCACTCACTTCACATTATACGGTGCCTTCCCGCTAAGGACATTGTTGAGGAAGGCGGAGAGCTGAGCGGCGGTCTGTAGATGATCATCAAAATCCACGCCCCACGATTAACATACCGTAATGTTAGCAATAGCATCGGCCAGCGGAGTGCCGGGATTGTTGCTCTGAGCGGCTGCTAACTCATTCAACCCCGCAGCTACATCATCCAGGGCCTCCTGGGTCTCAGGCGTGATTCCGCGGAATACGGTAGCTGTCGATAGGAGTGTTGTGGATGTGGCTACGGTAGATGGGCTATCAGATGTGGTCGGAGATGCCTGAAATTGGGAAACTATACTATTAATGCGTCAGTATCTACGTCTAGGATAGTAGAAGTCGAGGCCGACGTCGTTGAGCTGGTCGGGAGGCTCGTCGAGATACTGCTGGAGCTTGTTGAAGTAGAGGTTGTCTCGTCGTTTCGAGATGGAGAATCTCCATCAGGTACCGTCGTACTTGTCGAACCTGTTGAGGTTGACGTAGAGCTCGTACTTGTAGATGACGTCACTGTAGAAGACGATTCTGAAGAATCTCCTGTCGTCGATTCGGATCCGGTCGTCGTTGTAGAATCCATGATCATCGTCGAGTCCAGAACAGTCGTTGTCTCGGTCAACTCCCCATTTCCGGTGACAATCTGGATAAACGTGGTCGAGGGGCTATCCGTCGTCGAGGTCATCTCGGTCGTGGTCGGCATCGCCGAGCTGCTTGAACTTCCCGAAGACGTCGCACTCGTCGTGGACATGGCTGAACTGCTTGATCTTGTTGAAATCGTCGTCGTCGGCTGTTCTGTAGTCGGTGCATCTGAATGAAAAATTTTTTAGGTTAAAGGAAAGAATTTGACCTGTACTAGCGCTACCACCGCTTCCGCTTCCATCCGAGTCGCCGCTGCCGCTTCCACCAGTATTTCCTCCACTGCCTCCCCCACTTCCACTCCCAGTCGTCGAAGCATCTTCAAGCGGTTCAGTGGTCATTTCGACTACTGTAGTTGAAGTTCCAGCTTTCGGCGTCGTCGAGCTGGTCAATTTTCCAGAACTCAACGTTGTCGTTGACGAGGTTGAGCTGCTGCTTGTAGTAGTAGTGCTAGTAGTAGGCGTATTCGTAGAATCATCTCCCGAGCTTCCAGATCCTGATGATCCAGTAGAGGATGAATCCGGGGTGGTGACCTCTGAAGTCAACGCCTCGGTCGTTGAAGGTTTTTCTACAAGAACATACACAAAATCTGATTTGTCTCACCGGTGGTGCTCGTTAGGGTGACCACGTCGAGGATGATGGTCAGATTCTGTTGTTGGGCTGGGACGCTTTTCGATTGCGCCCAAAGGAATAGGCGGTATCTAAAAATCAAAGATCCGCTTTCAGGGGACCGGCTAGGGACGACTGGCTATAGATTTCACAGCGACGCGCGACCCACACGCGGCGCTCAAAACTTGGGTCCTTTACGCCATGGTATTCGGCAAAAAGAAAATAAATGCAAAGGTATGAAAATTTTTGGTATATTCATCCTTGTCCGCCCATTTAGTTGGCTGGAAAGTCGTCTGTATTTTTGAATTGCGAAATTGGGAGTTAAAATACCTCTACTTTTAAGCGGACAGTGAAAGCAAGAATTTCTAAAGAATTAAAATATCTGAATTTAGGCCAAAAAATCAAAAATTTAAAATTCCTACTTTCCCAGGGCAAAGTACTCGTCGACCGGCCTAAAGCTGAGGACGCCATTTGTTAGTACATATTCGGAAGATCCTGAAATTAATTCAATTGGCGTTTAAAACAGTTAAAACCATTGAAAGAAGCTAATTAAGATCATAAAACTATGAAAATTAAATAAGTTAATATTTTCGATACCGTTTAAACAGTCGGATTCAAGCAACGGGAGGTAGACGGCCAGCGGGTCCGCTTCCGGATAACAGTACCAGGTGTAGTTGACGGAGAGCTGAAACTTTCTCTCTTACCCCCTCTCCAACTCTCTCTCTTCTCTCTTTCTCGCTCACTCCCTCTATCTCTCACGCTCTCTCCCTGACACTCTCTCTCGCTCTCTCGCTCTCTCTCCCTCTCTCTCTCTCTCTCTCTCTCTCTCTCTTTCTCTCCTTACCAATGTGTCAATATTCGGATCCGCATCAAAAGGCTGCCTAAGGTATACGGTAACTTCCGTCTCATCGGCCATTCCGATCACTTCTCGTGACACCAATCCAGTCGATGCCACAATGTTCACGTTTCCACATGCCGTGTAATTCACAACGTGCTCGAATTCTACAGTACGGCAGAGATTACGGTATTACGCAAGATTACTGTACCGGCCGTCAAACACACATTATGATTTCCCAATTGCTGGCCAGGGGCGAGGTATAGCGTTTCGGCGGTGTGGTTTGTACTCGAGAGTCCATCTGGAAAAGGTAAAATTACGGTAATTCCGTTAAAGTACGTAGGGTACGGTAAGTTACAGTACGCAAGTGGTATAGGATTTTTAAAACTTGGAATTCCAGCCGAACTTAAAAAATTTCTAAATTACGGTGTACGGCTACGGTATCGCTACAGTATTACTGTTACGATAAGGTATAGTAGTGTACCGGCTTTCTCGATAATTACCATTACTCCTAGTTACCGTAGTTCCGCTACAGTACGGTTATGCAAATACTTTCGCGTACTGTACAGTACCGGATTTTCACAACACAATGTAATATTTTATCTAGAAATTTTGTTTTGGAATTACGGTGGTCAGGACTCGAATAACCGATTTTCTGAATGCTGGTAAAAATGCAAAATGATACTTAATACCGTAACCCAAGTATTTTCGGCAAGCTGGCACGATTTCCAAAATGACCCTCGATAAAATGGCCTCTTCCTCGAACATGCCCCAACTACCGTACCCAGCGCCCAGGTGTACTGTGTGATTGTGCACGGGCTGGCGGACGAGGTATTTGAATTGACGGCAAAGCTCCAGTCTTGCTGCACGATGGCCGTCGAGTCGGGCAGGGAGGTGAGGTCGAGTTCGAGGAGGGGTAGGCATGTCTAGAGGAGCATCGCGTAGTCAGGCGGAAACGAATTGATAAAGCTACCCCTAACGAGCCGCCAGAAGTGCCGGTTATCGATGGGGTCGTTAGTATCACTGTGGTTGTGTCTTCAGATGTCCCACTAAAAGATGGGGTTTCTATGTCTTGACCCAGTTACCGTACCTGCTCCCGCCACCGATGATTATACTGCCGTCATCTGTTTTAGACGTTGTTTCTGCAGAATTGCGAATAATCGATTACGCAACGAAAGGACTGAGATTTTTGCACCTTACTACTGTATGCTTTAAGAAATAAGGATTACGCTATTTAATTCGAAAGGTATTTTCAATTTGAGTATGTTAAAAAATCAACTTTAAAACGCAAAAAACGTACGCCTCGATCCCGATGTCGTACTTGCCAAACTCGGCCCTCCAGTAAATGTACTCGTTAAAGTAGTCCTAAACATTTGTCTTTTTTACTTTACTTTGGTCACGTACGATCCAGAAGATGACCCGCCAGAAGATGATCCTGACGATGTCGAACCAGAAGACGTGGAAACGACAGATTGGGTCGTTGTTCGGCTACTAGCCGTCGAGGTTGAACTTGGCGTACTTGTGCCGGAGCCGCCGCCTTGGACTCGTTTAATTTCGTAAATTTCTAGTCCTACCTCCCGAACTTGAGCCCCCCGCTTGTACTTCCTGGTGTCGTCGTGGCAGTACTACCGCCTGAGCTGCTTCCGCCCGAATTGCTTCCTCCTGAGCTGCCTCCGCTTTTGGCTGTACTCGCTGACATCGGGGTTGTTGTGCTGCTCCCGGTTCCCCCGCTAGTTCCGCCAGTTGACGAAGAATCGCCTCCAGATGTCGAGCCGCCAGACTAGAGCAGTGAAATGGAAATATTGAGCGCTTTTTTACCGTGGATCCGCCAGAAGTTGAGCCGCCGGATGTTGAACCTCCAGAAGATGACGAGGAGGAGGGGGTGGTAGTCACTGTTCCAGAGGATCCGGAAGAACCACCAGAAGATGGGCCGCCTCCACCGGTGGTTGAACCTCCTGAAGTTGAGCCGCCGCCACCAGAGGTTGAACCTCCTAAAGATGCTGTTTGATGAGTTTAGTGTCGGAATTAATTTTGGAATTAAAAAGCTCCGAATTCGAATTGAAAAAACTTTCGATGACGCCCAGATTGACGACAATTACCTGAACTGCCACCAGAAGTCCCGCCTGAGCTGCTTGAAGTTGGTGTCGTCGATTCTGAATTCCCGCCCCCTGTACTGCTACCTCCACTCCCGTCAGAAGTGCCTGAATCGATGTTGTTTCTAAGAAGCCGCCATTTTGAACGTACCCCCGGAGCCGTCGGTAGTGCCTGAACCTCCTGAAGTTGAGCCGCCAGAAGAGCCTCCTCCGCCAGATGTACTTCCGCCAGATGTGCTTCCTCCAGAATCTCCGCTAGTTGAGCCACCGCTGCTTCCTGAAGAACTTGTTCAAGTCAGCGTCTGGGGAACGCGAGAAAGAGAGAGAGAGAGAGAGAGATAGCTATCGCCAAAACTCACCTCCGCTGCTTGGTGCAGTAGTTACCGTAGTTCCTAAATGAACTTTTTTCAGACTTCAAGGCTACGAATTACCGCCAGAAGTCGAACCCCCAGACGTTGAGCCGCCCGAAGAGCTGCCACCACCTCCAGAAGTTGATCCCCCAGATGAACTTCCCCCGGATGTGGTACCACCTGAAGATGACCCGCCTGAGGTCGAGCCACCCGAAGTGGAGCCACCCGAGGTTGAGCCGCCTGGAAAAATCGGGCTTTCAAAACGTGACTTCTAGCTGTACCCCCTCCACTCGTCGAGCCACCACTGCCGTCGGTAGATGAACTGCCGCCTGGAAAGGAGCTTAGAGGGAGGGCGAGAGAGATAGAGAGAGAGGGTGAGAGAGAGCGAGAGGGAGACAAAAGCGGACGGCTCCAAAATTATACTCACCTCCAGAACTTCCTGAACCATCCGTTGAATCTGAACTTGCCGTGCTCTGCGGCGCCACAGTAGTTGTACCCTACATTGGACCTTTTAGCAATTTTTACCTTTCCCTACCGATGTGAAAATTGAAGTCGAAGCTGTACTTGCCGATGATGACGTCGAGCTAGATGGGCTTGTTGAAGTAGACGATCCTGTCGACGTTGCAGTCGATGGCGTGGAAGTGCTAAAAATAGTTCTCCTTCAGTTTTAAAGCCATTTATAGATCAGAAGGTTGCTTACCTGGTGGAAGCAGATGAACTACTCGTCGACGCTGTTGTTGTACTCGTTGTTGACGTTGTTTCAGTCGTAGTCGTCTCCGGGGTGACGATGTAGATCGTGACAGTAGATGAATCCGTTACAGCGACAGCACCTGTACTTGTCGGAGCCGGTGTACTCGTTGAGATCGAGGTGGAGGTTGAAGCAGAACTAGAAGGTGGGGTCGAGCTCGTCGTAGAAGTGGAAGTAGAAGTAGAAGCAGATGAACTCGATGTGGCCGCCGTCGTGGAGGTCGACGTCGCGGGCAGCGTCGTCGAGCTGGAGGTGGTCGGTGCCGTTGAGGTTGATGAACTCGTTGCAGTCGTTGTGGTTGATGTCGACGGGGTGGTAGATGAACTAGAAGAAGTAGGCACCGTCGTCGTCGTCGTCGTCGGCTAAAATCGAGAAGCTGGTTAAAATGTTACGGTAGCTTTTGAAATGTATTAGCCAAGCTAGACTTAAAAAACTATTTATTCGCCAAAGCATAAAAAGGATAATTCAACCACAAAACGCAAAAAAAGCTAAATCCCAAATCGTACATTAATTTACCAAATTTATTGGTATCCTTTTGGTAAGGTATTAATTTTTAGCCGGCAGCTGTTTTTAAAGGTACGCGCAAGGCAAGGGAATCCACAACCATGCCTTACCCCTCCCTTTAAAAAGCCGCCAAGAAGCGAGCGTACTGAGTCAAGATCGGAATATCAATCCTAGCCGATTCGACACTAAAGAAGGGCTTCACCTTGGTGGTTGTAGTTGTCGTTGTTGTAGGTGTACTTGTAGCTGTCGTCGTAGCCGTAGTAGTTGTAGTAGTAGTAGTTGTTGTAGTTGTTGTAGTGGTTGTAGTGGTTGTGGTCGTTGTCGTAGTTGTCGTTGAACTTGCCGGACAGGTCGTGGTCGCGACGGCGTCGCACAGAATTATTGGGCCGATGGAGGTGTAACTAGTGGTCGTTGGCACCGCAGTTGTCGTGGTCAGAGTGGTGGCTGAAATTTGGGGATGATCAATCCAAGCTGAGCCTAAGATTAAGCCAACTTACTTGTCGGCGTCGTCGTTGTGGTGATGGTTGTTGCCGTGGTCGTAGTAGTAGTAGTCGTCGTCGTAGTCGTCGTCGTCGTCGTCGTAGTTGTCGGCTGCGTCGTCGTAGTCAGCTTGGTGGTGGTGGTCATCTTCGTAGTTGTCGTCGGCTCCGTATAGTTACAAATGACGATCGTGTAGTCCTGGGCGAAGACGGGCGGACCGCAATCCTGGAAAAACGTACGGAAAAACGTACAATCCGTACGTAAAAATACTATTCTATTTACAGGTTTTCTCAGCTTACCAGCAAAAACAAGAAAAGTAGGAGGGATTTCATGGTGCCCCTGTCCTCCTTGCTGATGTCGGATGGTGATAATTCCCTATACCGCACCGGAATGGTACCGTATTTTACTAAAATATACAATTATCGGAATAAGCGAACTACCGTATCTCTACAGAAACAAAAAAGTTGGCAAATAAATTGGGAACGGCCTGGGGGATTCTTCGGCCTGGTCGTCAGCCCGGTTGCCGGGAGTCGCCGGGAGACCCGATTTTGTGCCCCAGCGACCGGATTTTTTTCGGAATTTCCTGAATTCCGGCCCCGAGATTGATTTGCATCATATTTAAGAATTCGGAGGAAATGGAATGAAACGGAAAACTCAAAAAACTGAATTAAAAATTTTTACTTTCAATGAAAGCCCGTTTTGCACCTGAAAATCCTCTAAAACAGTCCATTTCTATTTACTTGACGGTTGCGCGCGGCTGAGCTACTCGGTTGCGTTGATGGGTAATTGAAATAATTGATTCAAACGGCTGTATGCAAATTTTTAGCAGCCCCACACCACAGCCAGCAGCTACAGCCGGCGGCACCGCAGCAGGCCGGAATAGCTGGTGGGAAAGGGCTTGAATTAGTTTTTATAATTTTTATGAGCACAAAAGCAAAAAGCAAAAAAATCGCGGCCGAGATTCGAACACCCGACCCTAGGTTTGATAGGCGCGGGTGCATGGCTAAATTGCGTTATATGGTCACTAAACGGATTTTGGATTTTTATATACCAAAATGCTCAGCAGTTCGAGCTGGTTCAGGATCAGTTGAAAAAACTATTGGGAAACACTTCTGGAGCGAGTTATAACACTTCAAAGTTGGCGAGTGTCGTATATGGTCACTAAACGGATTTTGGATTTTTAGATGTCAAAATGCTCAGCGGGCCGAGCTGATTCTAGAACAGTTGAAAAAACCTTTGGGAAATACTTCTGGAGCGAGATATAACACTACAAAGTTTCGCGTTACCCCGGCCCAATACATAACGTTGTCGCCCCGGGGAGTCAGTTTTCGGTGTTGCGAAAAATGGTTGGGTTCGAAATGGGTTTGGCATGAAACTACATACCCGATCTGAGCCTAAAAATAAGGCTTCGTGCCACCCCGGGGCCTAGTCGCTTCGGATGGGTGCGAGCTCGTACAGGGTTTCGAAATGGGGGCGCCAAGGCCGGCGAAGCGGCCGGGGGCGCCCCGATTTCGAAAGAGTGGAGCGGCAGCCCATCCGAAGCGACGGCCCACCTTGCCTGTCATGGGAGTACGTTGAATAATATACCACTTATGAGATATACCGCTTCGAAGTTGGGCTTCAAACAGCCCCCTATATACCATGTTTTTGCCCCGGAAATTCCGTTTTAGGGGGAAGATGGATAAGTGTGCGATAAGCGTTTGGCTTGACATTACACACTCGATCTGAGCCTAAAAATAAGGCTTCGTGCCACCCCGGGGCCTAGTCGCTTCGGATGGGTGCGAGCTCGTACAGGGTTTCGCAATCGGGGCGCCCGAGGAGCGCGAAGCGCCCAGGCGCCTCGATTTCGAAAGAGTGGAGCGGCAGCCCGTCCGAAGCGACGGCCCACCTTGCCTGACAATGTAGTATACAATGTACCCTTGAAACGGCAATTCTCAACCATTCCGTTTCTTTCCAATGTACAGTTGGCGTATTTTGGTGTATCACTACGTACTACTTCAGGGGCTGAATGGACGGCCTTTGTGCTTAGATATCTCGCGTCGGGAGATTTTTCCCCCAAAGGTTTTTCTCAACTGTTCGAGAATCAGCTTGACCTGCCGAGCGTTTTTGCCATATAAAAATCGAAAATCCGTTTAGGTGACTATATACGACACTCGCTAACTTTGGAAGTGTTATAACTCGCTCCAGAAGTGTTTCCCATTAGTTTTTTTCAAACCGATCCTGAACCAGCTCGAACTGCTGAGCATTTTGGTATATAAAAATCCAAATTCCGTTTAGTGACCATATAACGCAATTTTCCCCGGGTGCATACCAATAGGCCATCAGTGCAAAACGCTATTTAGAAAGAAGCAAGGCATTATTTTTTTCAGAACCATACAATATTTTATTCCGGCGTCCCTTTAAAACACCCACATTTTCGTTTTTAGGAGCTGCTGACGGTAAGCCGCTCCAATGCAGCCCCCAGCACCACAAACCCTCCAGTACACTCCTCAGCCCTAAGTCATTCTTTTAGCCTAAGCTCCATCCCTTTTTTTCACTCGGCGGTCGCCTCCTTCGGGCTGTCGAATGGAGGACGAGCTGAAAAGCAGGAGATGGAGCTAGGTCGACTACCGGGCTGACGGTAAGCCGCCCAATGCAGCCCCCAGCACCAGTCAAACCCCTCGCAGTACATCTCCGTCAGCCCGGTAAGTCATTTCGTTTTTAGCCTAAGCTCCATCTCCTGCTTTTTTCAGCTCGTCCTCCAATTCGACGGCCCGAAGGAGGCGACCGCCGAGCTGACCACCGTCCGTAACGGGCAGCTCTCTCTCTCTCTCTCTCTCCCATATTACTGGGTTTCACAAAAAAAACAACATTTTAGAGTAAAGTGTTAAAAATCAAATTTCGTTATGTTCCTCTACTTCTAGGCAGTCATATTTAGTGCTATTTTATTCTCCAGAATGAGAGCTAGATTTTTGTACAAATCACAAACTGTAGCTATATTGGGAGTCGAGATACGAAAGTTTTGGGTCGACCAAGCGCGATTTTTTTAGATCAAAATCCCTAAAACCGGTTGCTCTAGCCGTTTTTTTTTGCTAATCACGCATATAGCGCCGGTTCAATCCCCAGCCAGACAGCTTTTTAATTTTGACCTTTTACTTACTTATTAGAGCCCTGGCCCCGTACAACTACCGGTTGGCCTGGCGCGTGCTCGTTAGCGTCGCCGACGCGCTACCTCGTGTCCCCGTCCACCGGCTTCTGATGCCTGAACCAACAGGTCAAGGTATCGCACGGATACTCAGTCGTTATACGCACTAATGCCAGGTGACGGTGACGCTGTTCGACGTCAAGAAGTACCACAAACGGCACCGCTTCCTCGTGCAGGCCATCGTTTGCCCCGATGCGCTCAACAACCGCAGGGTAATCGTCTAAAAACGATCTTGAAAATGGGAAGCTATTTTCCAGCGCTATACAAATTTATAGCACTGGCGTTTCAAAAATAATTTTCAGGAGTGTGGAAAGAGATTATGACGGGCAAGTCGGCTGAATCCGCACCGAAATCCAGTGCATTAGGTCGCTACGCAGTGGGGAAATCGGAACCTTTACAAAATGGGTTTTTCTTCCAGCCGTAGCGGACTTCCGGCCACCTCCCCATCGACCCCCACCGGCGAGCAGGCGCCGATCACCGATTCGGCCGCCTCGACGCCGGACCACTTCACAGACGGGCGTCG